GAAATGGACATGTTCTGAAATGCTTTTTGCTATAGACCCAATAGCTAGAATTTAGCCTTTGTATTGAGAATTTCATTACCATTATTTTAAAGTACTGTGAAAAAAACTATTAGGAACAGCTTTAACCTCATAGCTTACGTGTTCTCCTATAAATAGGTCCAGGAGAGAGAAAGAAATCGTTGAGCTAAAGCTAAGCCATGCTTTTCAGGTGCACTTACTTCACTGGCGATATCTCTGGAGGCCTTGGCCGCCTTGATGGGAATGGCATCCAGTCGCATATCATAGCCTTTCTTCCTGGCTTCTTCTAAGCCAAGTTTATATAATTTCTGAAACAGACACAAGTCACTATAAGTTTGAGTTATTAGCTTGAGTGTAAGGAAAACATATCATGCAACGTGAATGTATTGCTTACCTCACTGTAGTTTATTTTGTTTTGTTTAGCTAGTAGAACTTCAGGGGTGTCTGGCATAATATGGACAGTAGTTTTATCTTTATCCCAAGCTTCTGTATAGAGGCGCTAAAACAGACAGAAAGACATGAGAAGTACTGTCCGGTACGAATGGACACACATGGATATTCTGATTCTCAGCAAGAAAAAAAGAGTTCTGCTCTGAGTTGGTATTTGTGACACATTTGGGTCTACATATTTTATATCAGTAAGAAGCCTGACATGTAATTTAAAACCACTTTAATGCTAAGCAAAAAAATAGAACGTGGATTTTCTTTTATAGAAATAAATTTCAGTATTTCCATAGATTAAAAACTACTAAACCCTCCTTCAAATAAAAGACTTACATGGTTCATGGTAATAGCATTGTTTTTTGCCAAAACCATTGGCATAGAGTCCATAAGGAGGGAAAACTTTAATTTATCGGGGTGCTGACGGTAAACATGGTCACTCAAAATCTGGGTAGCTCTTTTGTTCTTCTCATCCTCGAGAGAACCACTAGTTATCCAGCCGATGCCTTTCAGCCACTGAAGATCAGCCTTGTACAAATTCTGAAATTGCAAGTGACAAATCATTAAATGTAAGCAAGTGCCCCTAAAGTAATAACAGCTTATATTATCTTTCAATTATACTGTGTCATCAGAAAAGTCATGACGCATTTTTGCACAGAAACACATAGAAAAATACATCATGACTTCTCCAACAACTCAGTATATGTGTGTACCTATATGTTTATTATTATTCATTTTATTCATGATAGAAAACACTTGCATGTGTATGAGAGAGAGCCATAGAGAAGCAGAGTCAAGAGAAGCACCCTCGATAGCATTTGGTCACTCAGCAATCCCCTTTCCATGACTCTCCAGCTCATTGGAATCTTGGGGATACATGCACCTGCTTTGCCTATTTTTAAGCCAATCCAGGGATCCAAACTTGCCATCAGCACTGCAGGTGCTGTATACATATATACACGAGTGTATATGTGTATGTGTGTGTGTGTGTGTGTGTGTATTATTTTTAGAGGTTTTGCCTTAGAGCGCATGCACTTGCTGGAGAGAGAGGGAGAGACAGAGACAGTGAGAAGGAAAGTGAAAAATTGTCCCCCTCGGGGGGGAGGGGGTGGGTTGGCCATGCCAGAATCCTTTCCCCTGGGATTTTGGGCACACATGCACATATGCTCAGTGTGATTCTCAAGCTACCAGGTCTGGGTTTCAAACCGTGGTTGGCCATGCGGGAGCCCAGCAGTTTAACTGTTATGCCATCTGCTGGCCCTGTGTGTGTATATTTTTAAAGACAGTTTCTTGCTATGTTGTGATCCTCCTGCTTTAGCCTCCCAGTTGGGACCACAGAAACCCGCCAGCATATCCAGCTCTCATACAGTGTCCCTCTATGTTGCCTACGCTGGCTGTGAGCTCATGATTCCTCCTGATTTGCTGAAATTACAGGCACATACCACTGTGCCTGGCCTTTACGTTGGACTAGAAATTGAATTCAAACCTCTCATGTGGTCCCAACCTGTAGAGCATAGCGTCTCAGCAGCATATGCCACTGTGCCTATAACCTACGATATTTACTTTAATGCTTAAATTCTTGGAATATTTTTAAATTTTGGTATGAATTATAAATCAACAAAATATTTTGATTAGAAGTATATTAAAAACAATATTCTAAACAGAAGCATGTAGTTAACAAGTCAAGTCTTTGATTGCATAGGTCAAAAATCTAGATGCTTCTACCGAAGCAATGGGGGCTTTGCTGGGGTTTCTTTGTGATGTAATGCTGTCTCAGATGTCTGAGTGATTGGATGGAGTTTGGGCATTAGTCCAGAAAGTAGAACTCACTTACACTTGGCTCCTCTCACTTTAGGGGAACTTTAATAGGAAAGCAGACAAGGACTTTTGGCCAAAGGGAAGCCTTAGACTCACATCACTCTGGAGGTCGTAGGCCTGGCGGGCATGGATCACGTCGTTCTGGTCGGGCAGGCAGGTCCACTGGTGCAGGTAGTTCTTGTAGTCCACATCACTCACTAAGGTCTGGCACTTCTTGGCCAGCACCACCCCCAGCATGTCCACCGGGCTGCTGAACTTGGTCTTCCACTTCTCAAAGTCCTTCTTGTACTCCCTGTCACTCTGGATCTTGGCCACGTGCATGGACCACATCATCTTGGGGTCGTCCTTAATGTTCCGGGCCCCGATGTGGTGGCCCAGCTGCTTGCGGTAACCATCTTTATACTTGTACTAAAGGGAAAAAAAATTTATGTCAGTCCTTTCAAAATTTACTCATGTTGCCATCTCTATGGCAAATTAAAAAACACATTCACTCTAAATATTTTGGTAAGCTTAGACAGCCACAGGTTTCAGTTTTTTGATAAGAGAGACTAAAGGTTAAATTCAGCTACCAGTTCCAGACATAATAAATGCATCCTTGATCTTATCCCCTCCCACACTCATAGCTGGGGTCATTTCACTGTCTTAATTTGTTACCCTTAGAAGAGTCTGTTCAGTTTCAAATTAAACTGAGGCTGCTTTGAAGTGATAAATTACAATCAAATTCATATCAACAGGGGATAAAGTCTTACTTCACTGGCAATTTCCCGGGATGCTTTGGCTGCTTTGATTGGTATGGCATCAACAGGAAGGTCGTAACCTTTTTTCTTCAGCTCTTCGTAACCCATTCGGTAGAGTTTCTGTTAAGAGACACAAGATTGCTTTGGGAAAACTGTTCTCCATAAACAACTACAGCATAATGAATATAGTGTGCTAAATATTTCAAGAGTTCATGAGAGGAATATATGTATTCTAGAATATCCCAATGTAATTGGAAATTATGCCCATTGATGCTAGGGATCCTGTTTAAAATTTTAAAGCTGTTTGAATATCTAGACTAGCAAAATTAAATGTCACCTCTTTTCCAGTTCTTATAAGAATGAGGCAGAGGTAAATTGATAGAGAAATGAAATGAAATATCATTTAGGTGCTACTTTCTAATTAACGTCGAGTGTTTCCTTAGAAGTTTTGTTGGAAAGATGCATTGCCTTTCCACCTAACTATTCTGGTGGGGAAAAAAAAATCATGCCTAAGGGGTTACGCCTTCCATGCAGCTGATGAATTAGAAAATAGCATCCCTTTTACAGTATAGGGTCACCCAAAGCAGAATCTACATCTCTGGGTAAAATACAGGGTCCTGGGGCCAGCAGGTGGCATGGTGGTTAGGAGTGCTAGACTCCTGCATGGCTGACTGTGGTTCAAGTCCTGGACCTGGTGACTTGCTTTCTCACTTTCTTTCTTTCTCTCTCTCTCTCACTCTGTCCCTCTCTGGTCAAACTAAAACAAATGAATAAATAAAGTTAAATAATAAAATAATTCTTTAAAAAATGCAGGGTCCTTTATAATTTTTTAAATATGAGATTATTTTGGGGCCAGAAGGTGGCATTGTGGTTAAGGTGCTGAATTCCCACATGGTTGACCACAGTTTGAGCCCTAGATCTAATGACTTAAAAATTATGCTGGATGTGTGCACATGTGCCTAGAATCCCGAGAAAAGACTCGAAGAGGGGACTGCAGCATGGCCATCCCCTGGGGTGTGATTTCAGTCTTTCTCTGTCGCTCTTCAGTGAGTGCACATGCCCTACGGCAAAAACTTAAAAATAAAATTTAGATTCTTTGAAGAAAGTTTAAATATTAAACTTAAAGAGCTTAAGTGAAATAATTTGTGTCTTCATGACATAATTGGATAACAGAATATGATTTAAGTGAACTTTTCTCCAAAAATTAGACTTTTTTTTTTTGAGAGGTTTTTGCTATAGGGCGCATGTGCTCGCCAGACAGACAGAAAGAGACAGAGAGACAGAAAATGAGAAATCACCCCTCCAGGGGGGATGGCCACATCACAATTCCTTCTTCTCCATTCTCCTCTTGGGATCTTGGGCACGCATGCACACGCGCCCGGCTTGAGTTTTAAGCCACCGGGTCTGGGATGCAAACCGCGGTCGACTACGTGGGAGTCCAGAGACATAGCCATTATGCTAACTGCTGGTCCCAAAAAATTAGACTCTTTAAAACACCTATGATCTTGGACTTATACCTATATTTTAAATCTTTTTTATTCTTCCTTTTATTTTGCATTTTAATCCTAGGTTTATTTAACATAATTCTTTCACTCTATAGAAAGTACAAACAAAATGTTATCTAGAATGCTACAAAGTGGCAAAACTCAAAAAAATTTCATAATATTGACTGCACTGGTCAAAAAAAAAAGCAAGGGACATGTTGTCAAAATAAGATGCAATGTTTAAGTTATTCAATTAGAGTTTAGAATTTATTTTTATAATATTTCATCTTTAAGTTTATAGATTTGTAGGTTTTAGAAGATTACGCTATGATGACAATAAAAATGAAAATGAAATTCTCTGGCATGAGTTTTGTCGGTCCACAGATTCATGATTTCATTGAGAATCTGCCATGTGTCGGGCACAATGTTAGCTAAGCACTGAAGATCCAGCAAGAATGGTCTCTGCTGGAAAGGAGCATCTGCTCACATAGGGGAGTGAAATAACCATTACATTATGATAATATGTATGATAATGGAATGCAAAGAACAGGGAATACAGAAAACCCCTTCTCCCATTCTGCCTGAAATAGGGAGTACCAACATTTTGATGTTCAGTCTAAAAACTAGTGAATGAGGAATCTCTCAGTCACTTGTTTATCTTTTGAATTTAATTTAATTTTAGAGTTTTTTTTTTTTCCTTAGGGTACATACTCTCACTGGAGAGAGGGACAGAGAGAAAATGAGAAATCATCCCCCCGGGGTATGACACAATCCCTTCTCCTCCATTCTCCTCCTGGGATCTTGGGCACACGCACATACATGTACCTGGAGTGATTTTCAAGCTACTGGATCTGGGACTCAAACCATAAGTGGCCATGTGGGAGTCTAACGATGTAACCACTACGCTATCTGATGGCCCACCCATGTAGTTTATTGTTTAAAATGATTCAGGGATTTAAAAACAAATCCACACAAATTCACTGACTTAAAAGCAATGAAAATGAACTTTCTGAAAACACATACTAGATTTGGAAACTTACATCACTTGTGTTGATTAAGTTTGCTTTAGCCAGAATAATGTCAGGTGTATCAGGCATGATGTGGATTTGAGTCTTGTCCTTGTCCCAAGCTTCTCTATAAAGTCTCTAAAAAGAAAAATAAGAACTTTTCAATGGTGATGTAAGATTAGTGAATGACATAGTTGGCTTCAAACAGAATTACTAAATTCATCTGAATTAAACATCATAATGGATAATAAAAGCAGAAAACATAAGCAAAAAATAGCTGCATTATTTCTTGACTTATTTAGGACATGACTGCTTTTCCAAATATAGATTATGGATCATCTTTTCAAAGTTTGAGATAACCATACCTATGAGGAATCAACACAGTTAATTAGAATCTTTGTCATTATTACCAGATGGAAGAGAGCTCTCTATCTTTTGGGTTATAAAAGTCCCCCTCAGTGTTAATTGGGAAGCCCTCATCTACTCAAGAGATAACTTATTCTAAATAAGCCTACAAATTGAGAAGTCTCATTTTCTATGCAGTTTATTATTTATAGTTATACCTCATAATTATTTTGGAGAATTAGAATTGTGAAAAGGATTTTGGTTGGTCATTTACCAGGATCTCTTGGATGTGTGTCCAAGCCATCCTTACATCTGTCTTCAACAGAAGATAAAAAGACCTAGACAAAAATCTCATTGATTTACTAAAACTAGGAGTAGTAAGTTTGATGAAAAACAGGATGTTTCCATAGTATCAGAAAGCCTCCCTACAAGATGTCTATCTATTACAAAGGATCAAATCATAATGTGACAGTGTAGGAACCTGGCAACCACTTGAGCCATATGAACAAAGTTAACATGATCATCATGTACTGAGTGGATATCGAGTGTCTCCTGACATGCTGGATGGCAGAAGACACAACTGGTGATGCCCTGCTGTTGTAAGACATACACCTGATAACACATAAATCTGAATCTCATCATGAGGACCCATGAGAAAGCCCAAACAGAAAGAGATTCTGCAAAACAACTGACCCACTCACAAATGTCAAGAAGACACGTGGAAGACAAAGAAATGAGAATCAGTCCAGTGTAAAGGAGAGCCAAGGCAGTGTGTTATCTTGGATTGATCCTGGACCAGAGCTGCTTTTTTTCTTCTAAAGGGCCTAAGTTGAATAAATTCTGTAGATTATTACTGTGTCAACATCAATTTCATGATTTTGATCACTGCATGGTGGTTATGTAAGAGACTGTTCCTATTTTCAGAAAATACACACTGAAATATTTAGGGGCGGAGTATCATCACAGAGCAACTTATTTTCTCATATAAAGATATAGAAGATATAGCTACGCAAAGATTCAGATATAAGGAAGAGAAAGAGGATGAGAGATAAAGAAAACAAATATGATCAGTGTTAACATTTGGGGAATCTGAAGGAAGATACACATATACATTTATGTATACAGTGTGATTATGTGAACTACTGGTACTATTTTTCCACTTTTCTAGATGATTTCAATGGAACACTTTTTAGTCTAATTGATTCCTTGGGCTTGTCAATTTCCCTTCACGGTGCACAGCATAAGTGTGGAGCTGGTGCTTTGCTCCTTCCTGATTATTTTTACTGAAGTCGATGGAACCCAAAGAAGCTGATTAGGACCATCAGGACCAACAGAGGCAGGTTTGTCAACGTCTATATGCAGTTATCTAGCTCTGCACCAACCTTCCTGTTAAGTAACACCATAGTTTCTCGACCTCACAGCTATGGATTTTGTATACTGGATGCTCTCTGGTGCTGGGGCTGTCCTGTGCAATGTGGGATGTTCAGTAGCAGCCCTGGCTTCTATCCACTAGGTGCCAGTAGCATGCCACTTTCAACCTGGGAAAACGGAATCTGTTTCTAGGTGCTGCCAAATGTCTCTGTGGGGCAAAATTGTCCCTGGTTAAGAACCACTAAACTAGATCATTTCTTCAATGGCATGTGCCACTTTCATCCCAGAGAACACAGAGAAAAATGCTAATATTGTTTATCAGAATATGTATTCAAAAGGAGAGACAGAGAGCTCAAAAACCAAGTTGGCCCAGGTTCTGCCTGCCTAGCCTTAGGCCAAAGAGGACCAGTATCTCAGCATTCCTATTACTAGGACACACTGTTGGGAGAATTGATTGACCTAAAGTCCTGGGACATTTATATTGATAAACTTTAGGACCCAGGGTTTCTTCTTAGGTCATGATGGTAGTTTAGTTCACCTTTTGAACAGCCTTGTTCAAAGAGAGAAAAGAAACTCAGATTTCAAGAAATGGGAAAATACTTCGCATAATTTTGTTGCTATGCTAATCAGCCTTTTGGATTCAAACTAACATCATAAAAATAAAAAGTGAAGAAGCAATGCTTGAACATTCATAATATCAATATTGACCATCAATTTTGGAAAAATTCTCTATACAAAATATAAATATATAGCATACCATATATAGTATATATCTTTAGGTCCTCCTAAGACCCAGATGGATATTATTATATATCCATTTAAACTTTCTTAAAGCTACAGAATCTCTGTGCATATAATTCAACTTTGTCATATTCAGGGTTAAGTTTTTAGGTGAGTGACAGTGAGTAGTTTTCTCCTTTGTGTAGAATTACACCAGTCTGCTCGCTTTTATTTATTTAATTCATTAAATTACATCGAGCACCTACTACGTGCCAGACACTGATGTCAGTGCTAGAGGAGAAAATAAACTGAAGATGGGGTATATACTTATTTTCTGTGACATAGAATTATCCATTTATCTTGAATAAACTATACCAAATATGTTATAATCGCTTTGCAAAAAATGTGCATTTTATAAAGTTTGAACTGTGCCTGTGTAAGGTACTCAGAAATTTGCCCCCTATCCCATCAGAAAAATCTGAGTCTTTAACGCACTGAAGTATCAAAGAGAAAAAATTACATTCAATAGTTTCCTCAGTATATTTTGGTTAACTAAAAAAGCTTTGTATAACAAAAATTGACATCGACCCGTTTTTATTTATTTTTATTTAGGTTCTTGCCATTTATTTAGGTTCATGCTCACTGGAGAGAGACGGAGAGAAGAAAAGTGAGAAACCACCCCCCCTAGGGAGAATGGCCACACCACAATCCCTTCTCCTCCATCCCTCCAGGGACTTTGGGCACACATGCACATGTACCCAGCAAGATTTTCAAGCCACCAGGTCTAGTGAACAGTGGTCGGCCATGTGGGAATCCAGCACTTTAACCATCATGCCATTTGCTGGCCCCAGACATTAATCCATTTTGACATAATTTAGTATAGGGTCAATGATAATTCAAATAAAGCAACCCAATATAAAACATTAGTTTGTGTTGTGTGACGCAATGTTTTGCTGTTCTACTCAGATGCTATTGAGGAATTACCAGGTAGCAGGCGCTATAATCTATTTCATTTATTTCCAAAGAGTTACTCACATCACTCCTATTCTTGGCATTTGTCTTTGCCAGAACTATATCCATGGCATCAGGAATGCTAGTGAACTTGTTTCTATCTGGAGGCTGACGGTATTTCTTCTCACTGATGATTTCTGAAGCTCGCTTGTTCTTTTCCGCCTCCAAAGAACCCAGGGGACTCCATCCTATGCCTTTCAGCCACTCAAGATCAGATTTATATATATTCTGTGAAAAGACAACACAAGCCATTGAAATCCCATTCTCACCCTCGACCCTTGACTAAGAGATGCATTTTGATTTTTAATAATAATTCTTCACTCTAGTTTCTGCTTCTCTATGATATGATGGCTGTTCATGTGAAATATGAAGTAACAACTATTGAATTTAATAGAAACTTACCTCACTTTGTAGTTCATAAACTTTTTTAGCTTGAATAACATCATTCTGATCAGGCAGGCATGTCCACTGATGTAAGTAGTTCTTGTAATCCACATCACTAACCAAGGCCTGACATTTCTTGGCCAGCACCACTCCCAACATGTCCACTGGGCTGGTATACTTGGTTTTCCACTTCTCAAAGTCCTTCTTGTATTCTCTTTCGCTCTGCATTTTGGCTACATTCATGGACAACACAAGCTTTGGGTCATCTTGCAAACTCCGGAATCCAATATGGTGGCCAAGTTGCTTTCGGTAGCCTTGTTTGTATTTAAACTGAAATCAGAGGGTACATGGTTATGTTATTAACATAAAGAAAGGCCAAATTAGGCTTAAGAGAAGGCATGTCTATGTTAACTTAGTAAATAATGTTTAGTTACTTAATCAAGTGGAGGCTTTCAAAAACACCTAATGTAGTTGAGTAACAAGAGAGGTCATAATGAGACCTTAATTCCAACTAAAAGCAGACATGCATGCTTCAGGATAATATTTAATAAAGCTCTTGTTTGTGGGATTGATGTCCATACTGGGGCAAATATAGGCTGAGTGGCTGAGAAATTAGAAAAATAATTGACTTAGAGGAAAGAACTAGTCATGTATATGAATTTATAAAATAGCCAGATTTTTAGTGGTTTGCCACATGGCCATGTCATATTACTGTCCTGTTAGAGGTCCATGACTTTCATACACAGGCTGCTTAAAACAGCTAAATATGTTAGATTAGAAAAAAACCTCTACAAGTGCTCAGGAGTCAAAATGAACTACATAAACTGAAGAGAGTACAAATGATATCCAAGCAGAAAACATTTACTTAGTGCCACATGATAATAGCAATAGTGATACCCACTGTAACAATAGCACTACTTGATGTTAGGCATCGAGCGCGTACTACACCTCACTGAGGTAGGTTCTACTCTCTTACAACACCTGGCTTCATGGTTATGTGTATACACACACTCGGGGCTTTGAGTTAACCATGGGCAATTTGACAAAACTATTATGGAAAACATAACATAAATGTCCATAGATTCCAGACAGGGCATAGAAAAAGGTTTGCCATCAGCTCATTGACAATGGCCTGATATCCTATAGAAAGAAACACTACATTCTGAAGTACTTTATTTTGAGAGGGACTTTGAAAAGATAAGATAAATCACAAATAGGATAATCAGAAAATCTGAGAGCTTATGAAACCAAGTTGAAAGGAAAACAAGGCAGACACTTGAAATGTTTGAAGAGATATCAAATGCAAGAAGAAATAAGCTACTTTGTGATGTTCTAGAATAGAAGTCTAGAGCTGATCAGTAAACTAGGTAGAAACAGGAAAGTATATGACAGTTGGAGATGATCCCATGAGGAAAATACCTACCTGAAAAAAAAAACAAAATTTTTATTTGTGAGTATCCATACACTACTGGAGATGTTGAGTGGGAAGCTGGGTTACATAACCTTTATGTTACCTTCTAATGCTAAAGTCTAGGGTTCTAATTTATTAAATTAAATACTCATAGGCCAGGTAGATGGTGTGGTGGTTAAGGTGCTGGACTTCTACATGGTCAACTGTGGTTCAAGTCTCAGATCTGGTGGTTTGCTTTCTCACTTTCCCTCTCTCTTTGTCTCTCTTTCTGGTAAAATTTAAAAAAAAAATAAATAAGTACAATTAAATAATTCTAAATAAAAATTAAGTACTCATAAAAATAGCCCTAATTTTCTGAAATTTTATTGATATAAGAACTGTTTGAAATGGAAAGAAGATATAATGTCTATAATGGTGAGAAAGTTCATTTATAGTTAATGCAATTTTAGATTAAGACTTTAAAATATTCTAACTAATGGATTCATGTGAAAAAAATAAAATACTATTATATCTTCTGTTGGTAATAAATTATTGATGCTATTTTTTAAATTCCCAAATGATCTTGGGCGCATAACTTTAACTGAACTTACTTTCTAGGAAACATACTAACATCCTTATTGCCTTAGGTTCATCACTACATCAATTAGTTTGTTATTGTCGTTGCCAAAGGGTGCATGTGCTCACCAGAGGACGTTAAACTTACATCACTAGCAATGTCTCTGGAAGCTTTGGCCAGCTGTACGGAAATTGCATCAAGTGGGAGATCATAGCCTTTCTTCAAAGCTTCTTCCCATCCAAGTTTATAGAGTTTCTGAAAATTGAAGAAATTCTTCAGCATTATTCTGTGTCCATTAAATATCCCAAGAGATTTTAAACCAACATTTACACAGAAAATAGATATCAGATTCTAACATTTTTTACCCTATCTTTAAAAATATTGACAAAACCAAAATAGGCTGTTTATAGTAGGGAAGAAAATGCACTGACTTAATATCACACACAACTTTTTTTTTTTCTTTCTTTCTTTCTGGCTCTGAGACTCCCTAGTGGTGTATTTAAGTATGTCTTCTGCTGTTCACAAGCAATCCGGACAAATCAGGTATATGAGGTATCTTTCTCACTGGTGTTAAGATATTAAAATAACTGATACCAAGAAGAAAATCAGGTCACAAAATTTTAGTTATTTAAGTGGTAAAAGTAATATAAGATATAAATTTTTTACAAGTTACAATAAATGATTTAAACTCTCTGAACCAAATTCATTGAATGGATATACCCAGGTTAAAACTGGGTAGTAATAAAAATAGGGATCAGCCATCCAGTACTTTCTATGGGCCAGACATTGACTGTGCTGAGAACCTGGTATAGAATTTCTCAAATGGTCGTCACAGGAAGCCAGTAACATAGGCACTTGTATGGTCCTGATTTTAGGAATGAGGAAATGGAGTTTAGAAAGATAGGCTGTTTGCTCAATATCATACAACTCATAAATGGCAAATCTAAAACTCATACCAGTTCTGCTTGATGCAACCTTTTCTATCAATAGTTATTTATTGATTTCCTACTTTGTACCAAGCACAATGAGCACAGATAAGTAAAACATAGTACCTGCCTCCACGGAGCATGCTGAAGCCCTTACTTTTAACTACAGCATTTTCAACATCCCTAGGCTAAATAGTTTGCGTCATTGGCTTTCATTACTTCAGCACTGACGTCACTTATTTACTATTTCAGCATTTCATAAACCTACTTAAGTTTCAAGACAAAACTTAAAAGCACTCATCATGTACCATTACCTGACTATATAGTGTTTTATTCTGCTTGGCTTGTATAATTTCTGGTGTGTCGGGCATCACATGAATCTTGGTCTTATCTTTATTCCAATCAACAGTATATAAATGCTGGGAAGAGATAAGAAAAGACTCTTGAAATTTGAATAATAAGAACAAATAAGAATGTGTGTGTGTGTCTGTGTGTGTAACAAAATACTTAAATGCAGTAAATGTGAAATAGTAAACAAAGTAGCATATTACTGAGAAAAGACGCTAAAAATCCACTCCAATTTCAAACAATAATTTTAAAAATATTTTACATCTTCTAGAATGGATTGAAAGTACTTAAGATATAGTGATCAACAATATAAATAATGTCTAATCAGTTAGAAAAGGAAGAAATAAGAATTGGGCTGGGGGCCTGTCAGTGGCATGGTGGTTAAGGTGCCTAATCCCACATGGCCAACTGCCCAGTTCTAGTCTGGACCTGGTAACTCAAGAAACATGCCAGGAAAGAGTATATGCATGCCCCAAATCCCAATATGGAGAAGAAGGGATATTAAATTTCCCGAAGGAGGTTTAGAGCCTGCCTGCTCGCCTTTCCTCCCCTGGGAGTGGAGTGTCGGGGAACTAGTCTACCTTATTCATGGTGTGTGCATTCTGCTTAGCAAGCACCATGTCCATGGAATCAGTCAGCTTCTTAAACTGGAAGTTACTAGGGTGCTGGCGATATTTCTGATCACTGGCATATTCAGTTGCTTTCTTGGCCTTCTCCACTTCTAGAGAACCAGCTGGACTCCAACCAAGCCCTTTGTACCATTCATTGTAGTCCTGCTTATATTCATTCTATAAAGACAAGGGAGGCAAATTCGTCTTGACCATGTCAATTTAGACACAAACGGATGGCACGTAAGATTGCGATTTCCCTTCCCAACCACCACCCAGAGAGAAGAGGGCCTTACATTACTCTGGATGTGCCCCATATTCCTGGTCAGCTCAATATTCATTGCATCTGGAAGGAGGATGTACTTGTGAATCAGGCGCTTGTAGTTAGTGTTGGTGATGTTGGCTTGAGCATCCTTGGCAGCCGTGACACTGAGCATGTCTTTAGGGGTGTGGTAGCTGGTCTTTGTCTTCTCATAGTTTTTCTTGTACTCCCGATCAGATTGCATTTTAGCCACTTGCATGGAGTGGACTAATTTGGGATCATCCTCAAGACTGCGGAAACCAACCATTTTCCCCTTCTCCTTTTCATAATTGTACTTGTACTTATACTGTAACAAAAAAAAAATGCACACAAAGCAATTCCTTTGACTAAAAAGCATTCTAGAGTCAATATTTTTAATTTCACGTAAAATTATCCTTGGTAGATCTCTACGGTTTGTGAAACACCTTTTTCACATTTACGTATGTAATGTTATACACACAACTATAGGAACAAAGTTCTGATTCCTGCTCCCATTTTAAAGATGAGCAAGCTGAGACCCAGAGAAGTGAGTGACCTGCTAAAGTCACTAAAAATGAGAACCCAGGTCTTGTGATGCACCACATCGACTTAAGCACATACTCTGTTTTTGGTGCTAGAGAGGTCTTTAGAAGGTAATAAGAACACAGAAAATGACAGAAAAAACCAGAACAGTCTAAGTATAAATTTAATGCTGCCTTGAGAAATCATCTAGCTAGTCATTTATTGATGAGAATAGGTTCAATATGAGGTAACAGTATAATCTTAGAGTACTTTTGTATTTGTGGAGCTTCTTTTAAGACTCTCTTAACTGATATAATGGGAAAGAAGTTTTAGTATTTATCATCCCAACTTCCATAGAGGGGAGATCTTGATACATGGAGAGGTTCTTTTTCTACCTATCTCCTTGTGGGATGGAGTGTTCAGGTTAACAGGCAGGAGCCGGAAGAGCCAGATTACTCCTGTGTAGTACAATAGAGGGAGAAGATTGGAGTTCTCAGGATGGTAGGAGGGAGTAGGACAGGCTGGATAGGTAGGGAAGGTGAACAGAGATGGAAGAGGAGGCAGAAAGTACAACTGTGGTGGCCAGGAAGTAGTGCTATGAAACGTCTCCTCTCATAAACCCATCATCACATTCTCGCAGTCACTGGATTTCTTGTGGAAACAACCAAATGGAAGAATTGAGTTTCAGGAAGGTGTTGTGTTATGCGAGTGGTGTACTGAAACATGAGCTGTCTAAGGGGAAGAAAGTCCTAATCTGAACTGCTTGCTTCTTTCTATGGTGCACACATTTCCACCGCAGGTAAGGTCAAACCACCAGTGGTATAGCAACTGATTTGCAAAATTCAAACCATGGGCACCCTAGCACACCACTACATGAGAAATCCTGTTAGAAAGTTCGATCCTAAGAAGCAGAAGGCCAGAGCAAGCCAAGACTTTCACTAAGAACACAAGGTGAAGGGTTTTAGTTTCTATAGGCCTTAGCCTTGGTGACAGATTTCAAAGTAAATTCATCTAGACCTCATGAGTTAGGGATAATCTGTGAGGGTCATGCTCTGGTTAGCATTCCCTTTTTTTTTTTTTTTTTTCCCCCAGAAAGACCAGAGAAAACACAAAAGCAAGGCTCACAAGCATTCACAAAATAGTGTAAGACTATTGTTAGTAGGCACTTCCCCCCTCCCCATATTTAAATAGCCCAGTTTTTGTTTGTTTGTTTGTTTGTTTTTCAGATTTCAGTTCCTATTATTTCAACTGATTACAAACTGCTTTCTTTTTGACTTACATCACTTGCAATATCTCTTGAAGCCTTGGCAGCTTTGATAGGAATTGCATCCGTTCTGAGATCGTAGCCTTTCTTTTTAGACTCTTCCAAAGAAAGTTTGTAGAGTTTCTGTAAAGAGAAGAAAAGGGGATAGTTCTTGTCTGAAAAGAAAAGATTTATTTTTAGAAGAGCAAACTATCACCATGGCATCCTTTTAATTTTTCAGCAGAATGCTTCACTGGTGGTTCAATGGCTGAATGTGCTCATGAATAACATAATTGTGTTTGAAAAAGAAATCTGCTACAAATTAAACATACGTTCAAGAAACCACCAGAAAAAGTCAAAGTCATTGGTCTCTATGAGGTTGTAAATATATTTTAAAGACATAAAAATCCAGGAGATTTTAATTGATTTTTTTTATAATTAAGAGATGACTACAACATGTCATATTCTTACATCAAAATAAACTTCACTGTTTTACAATAGACATTTATATACATTATTTGTTTATATAGCTTTGTGAGTTCTATTATCAAAAAAAAAAATAAAAAAGAAAAGAAAAGAAAAATACAAGTCAGATATTCCAAATCCCTGTGGAATCCAAACAAAGAAAAGGAAAAAAAACGGGTCAGATTAGAGGATTTCCTAGCATCAATGATTGGGATGAGAAAGGAAATAAAATGTGAATGAGCTCTCTCACAAATGCTGCACCTTCATCATTATGGGACTAGCCACAAATTCTTCAAATTGCTCATTTTCCCTTTCCATTTAACTCTTTCTTTAGGACCATCTCAAAATGTGGAAGAGGGAACCTCTAAGAATAAGGTTCTAGTACTTTTGCTTTTCCTTTTTCCTCTGTCCCTGTTTCCCCCAATATCCCAGTTTGACAAGAAAGCCTGCCCCTAGGACAAGGTCCATCACTCTTCAAATTCCTGACTGTTCAGCCAGCGCTCACCCACAGGCCTTCTTCAAACCTTAGCAAAGCAAGATTAGAAAGTAAAAGATTCTCTTTTGTGGATTTCTACCATTTTTTTTTGGGGGGGGGGAGATTTTCACTGTAGGGCGCGTGCGCTCGCCAGACAGACAGAGAGAGACATAGAGACAGAAAGCGAGAAATCACCCCCCAGGGGGGATAGTCACGCCGCAATCCCTTCTCCTCTCGGGATCTTGGGTACGCACGCACACGCGCCCGGCGTGAGTTTTAAGCCACCGGGTCCGGGACATGAACCGCGGTCGACTACAGGGGAGTCCAGCGACACAGCCATTACGCTAACTGCTGGTTCCCTGGATTTCTACCATTTTAAAAATTATGTTTCCACTATCATTATTTTATTTTGTTTTTGCTATAGGGCACATGCACTCACCACAGAGAGATAGGGTTGGGGTGGATAGATGAAAAATCACACCCCCGGGGGGGCAGACACTCTGAAATCCCTTCTCCTCTATTCTCCACTTGGAGAATATGCCCAGTGTGACCCAAGCTGCTGGGTCAGAACTGCAACCACACAGCCAACTCTGTGGGATTCAGTGCCTTAGCTTCCATGCCCCTTGCTGGCCCTCCACCATTATTTTTAATATTTACTCTCATAATTGAGAAAGACCTTAATTAGTTCATCTCCTTTTTGCTCATTCAAAGAGGCTGGAACGAATGATAAGAAAAGAGGAAATTATACTTACATCACTCATATTAATTGCATTTGCCTTTGCCAAAATAATCTGGGGGATGTCAGGCATGATGTGAATTTTGGTCTTGTCAGCCTCCCATGCTTGTTTGTAGAGGTGCTAGAGTAGAAAGTATATATATATATATATATACACATTTGTACATGTATGTCAATCTTCTATATATTGTTATTAACTGGGTTTTTTATTTGTTTTGGGGTTTATTATTTTTTTTAGGGCTTTGCCATAGGGTACATGGGCTCACCAGATAGAGGTAGTGAGCAGGAAAGGGAGAAATCACCCTTTGGGGGCATGGCCATATCACAATTCCTTATCCTCTATTCTCCTCTTAGGATTTTGGCTGTGCCCTCACACGTGCTTAGTGTGATTTTCAAGCCACTGGGTCTGGGACTTGAACCATTGTAGGTCATGTGGGAATCCAGTGCCTTAACCACCAGGCCGCCTGCTGTCTCCAGGGTTTTAAAAATAAATACCAATGGAAAAGGTACTCATTCAAACAATATGTTGGAGAGGATATAACATAGAATGTGCCCTCTCCACTAACCTTATAACCTGGAGCTATTTCAGTCCTAACACTTTCTGTGCATATTAAAACCCATAAATAATCCTTCTTAAAAATATAAATGATGTCATATAACATATAATAGTCAACATCTTGCTTTTTTACTCCTTATGTTAGACATCTTGGAACCTTCTAAAAATAATTTACTTCATTCATTTAAAAAGCTATAGTATTCCCTTTGAGGTACAATTCAATTGACCTAATCAGCTCACTGTGATCGATATTGGGTTGTGGTTTCCATTCTTTATCTCCTACAAACAATAATGCCATGATCTCTAAGATGTGCCACCAAGACACCCACTCAAGGAAGGACTGTCGCCTCAACTTTTGGCAGACAGCGTCTCCAGGTGGGATCTGCTGCTTTGCTCAGAGCGTGCCTTTCTCAGGGCCACATCCAATGATGCATCAAAGTAGAAATCAAAGACCTGGTTATTCAGCCCATCACAGGACACTTACAACAGGCAGCATTCGAGAGCCCTCCATGGGATTAGTCAAGGCTTTGTTGGGCCTGTATCACTGCTCCACTTCTCCCTCTCTACAGTCCTCCCTTCCACATGCACCGATACCTAAAAATACCTGTACACCAAATTCTATCTCAGCATCTCCTTTCAGAAACCCTAAGCTGAAAAAAATTTTCAATAAATATATATGTATATACACACACACACACACATATATACATATACACACACAAATACATATGTATTTGCATACATACATAAAGGTTTTCATAGGGTAATGAATATCTTAATTTAAAATTTTAACAAATATTTGGGCCAGCAGGTGGCGTGTTAGTTAAGGGCACTGGACTCCCCACATGGTCGATTGTGGTTCGAGTCTCGGACCTGGTGGCTTGCTTTCTCTCTCTCTCTCTCTCTCTCTCTCTCTCTCTTTCTCTATGTGCATCCCTCTCTGGGCTAATTAAAATAAATAAATAAATAACATTAAATAAAATAATTCTTTAAAAACAATTTTAACAAATATTTTTAAATTTTAACATAAACTCTCTTGCTGATACTGTCTATAATACAATTTCTTTTGAGAGATTTTTTGCTATAGGGCACGTGTGCTCTCCAGAGACATAGAGAGACAGAAAGACAGGAAAAGAGAAATCACCCCCTGGGGAGATGGCCACACTCAATCCCTTCTCCTCCATTCTCCTCTAGGGATTTTGAGCACGCCCACACAATTGCCCAGTATGGGTTTCAAGCTGCCAGGTCAGGGACTCAAACTGTGGTCAACTACATGGGAGTCCAGCAACGTAACCATTATGCTGTCTGCCGGTCTCTGTAATATAACTTTTTAATCACTGCAAATCTGGTATATGAAAAATGTTCTCTCTCTATTTTGACCAGGCTTAGTTACAACAAAAATGACCTCCTACTAGACCAAGAGTCAGCGCCCTGTCTGTAAAGAGCCAGATAGTAAAGAGCTCAGGGCTTTAGGGTTGTACAGACTCCATCAGGGGCTATTCATCTCTGCTGCTGCAGTACAAAAGCAGCCGAGGACAGTATGCAAATGAACAGTTGCGGCTGTGTTACAACAAACTTTTATTTATAACAAGAGTAGTTTTCTGATCTCTGTTTTGGACCGGCATCTCCCAGTAGAACTTTCTGTAATGATGGATGTATTGTACCACCTGATAGAGTAGCCCCTAGCCGCTCAGGACTGAGGAACTTAATCATTAATATGATTTAATTTAAAGATAAATTGCCACATGGGACCAGGTGTTTTAGCACTGGATAGCACAGTTTTAGTAAGGAAAGCAAGAGCCAGTCATTAGAATTTGTGTTTCAGTCCAGACCAGCCATTGGCCTGCTGTGTGTCCTTAGGGACAGCGCATCACCTCTCTGGACTGTACTTTCTTCAACTCTGCAATGAAAAGATTTGATCTGATAATCACCAAGTCAGCATTTGCTTTTTTCTGATTCTCATTTTGGCATCTTTATCCTGAAAATTTACTCACTAACACAGGAAGTATCTAATTTTATTTTTTAAAGACTTATGTAAATTTATTTATTTATTTAATTGACCAGAGAGGGACAGAGCAAGAGTGAGAAAGGGAGAGGGAAAGTGAGAAAGCAAGTCATTATGTCCGGGACTTGAACTGTGGTCAGTCATGTGGGAGTCCAGGGCCCTTAATCACCACACCACCTGCCAGCCCCGGAAGTCTCTACCTTAAAGTGTTCACACATCACCACACCACCTGCCAGCCCCGGAAGTATCTAACTTAACATATTAAAAATAGATATTATCTCGGGGCTGGCAGGTTGCGTGGTGGTTAAGGGCATTGGACTCCCACATCGTTAACCATGTTTCACATCCCAGACCTGGTAGCTTTCTTTCTTTCTCTCTCTCTCTGTCCCTTTCTGGTCAAATTAAAATGGGTAAATAAATAAAGTTAAATTTAAAAAATTATTTAAAATAAATAAATAAATCCTGGTGATGATTAGATTCTAAATCTTTTTTAAAAAGAATTATTTATTAATTTTATTTATCATTATTATTATTATGTTTTTTAAATTTGCTACAGCGCACATGTGCTCACCAGAGAGAGAGAGAAAGAGTAAGAAAGCAAGTCCTGCCAGATTCAGAACTCGAATCACAATAAGCTATGCACCACACCACCTGCTGGCTTCTATAGTCTAAATCCTAGAAGAAGCACTGACATTTATGCCTTGCCTTTTACGTGGGTCCCTTCCAAGGGGATTGGCCTTCGTGTTACATTAGCCCATTTCAGAGGCTCCAACAGGTTCATGCTGAGGCTTACTGTGACGCTCCGTCTCCCCAGTGCACCTAGGGCCAGTATTTTCTGCAAATGTTTATGTCCAAGTAACTTTTTTCTTTTTTTCAAATGCATTTCTAATTGTGACTTACATGATATAACTGGCGCTGTTGCAATTATCTGATTATTTTGAACCTTAAAGCAGATGTCCAAGGTCGATCTTGCTGCTACCTTATGGTCAGTAAATGTAAAAGTAAGCCTTACTACAGTAAGGCTTTCTGAGGGATGTAGGAATGAGCAATACTAGAAAACACTGAGGTAGCACAACTTCTTTCATGATGGCCCGTGAAGGCCCTGGGTCCGAGTGCTGCTACAGCCGTAAAATCGGTGTTTTCTTTGATCGCACTGCAGCAGAGGCTGCTGCAACACCAGTTGTTACCAGGTGATGTGCTGGTTCAGCATGAACTGCTTACCCTCACTTTAGGAAGGCTGGCTCATGTCCAAGATGGGCATTAAGAAGAGGGCCCCTACTTATTTCGTTAAATCTGTGAGATAATGTGGTTCATTATACTGGGTCAGTGGGAAAGTCATGGCACATTTTTGCATAGAAAAACAGAAAAATACATCATAATTTTACCAATGACCTAATACATTTGGGGAGGGCACTAATTAGGAATACTTCCTGTCTTTTTTTTTTTTTAACTATATAATCTCCCATTTTTTAGAGAGAGAGAGATTTTTGCTACAGAGCAAATGCACTTGTGGGAGAGACAAAGAGAGAGAAAATGAGAAATTATCCCCCCGGGAGGGGGAGAAGGGCCGTGCCACACTCCCTTCTATATTCTCCTTTCAGGATTTTAGGCATGTACACACATGTGCCTGGTGTGAGCTTCAAGCTGCCAGGTCCATAACTTGAACTAGGGTCGGCCTGTTAGAGTCCAGTGCCTTATAACCATCTGCCACCTGCTGGCCCCATAACCCTTTTTTTTTTTTTTTTTTTTTGGAGAGATTTTCACTGTAGGGCGCGTGCGCTCGCCAGACAGACAGAGAGAGACATAGAGACAGAAAGCGAGAAATCACCCCCCAGGGGGGATGGTCACGCTGCAATCCCTTCTCCTCCATTCTCCTCTCGGGATCTTGGGCACGCACGCACACGTGCCCGGCGTGAGTTTTAAGCCACCGGGTCCGGGACACGAACCGCGGTCGACTACGTGGGAATCCAGCGACATAGCCATTACGCTAACTGCTGGTTCCCGGCCCCATAACCCTTTTGCAAAACAAAGTAACCCTCAAGTATGATGCCCTGCAGCTGTGGTTGCAAAACCTGTACAGATAATGTAGGCTACAGCTGGATTCACTCTGATAAACGCACATCAGGACATTATTGAAAGACTTACTTCATTCATAATTTTTGCATTGTTCTGGGCCAAAACCATGTTCATCGAGTCCATCAAGGTGGAATACTTCAAAGTGTCTGGGTGCTGGCGGTACTTCTTTTCACTAATAATCTCCATGGCTTTCTTGTTTTTCTCAGCTTCCAGGGAGCCCAGAGGGAGCCACCCAATGCCCTTCATGAAGTCAGCATAGTCAGCTTTGTACTGATTCTGCAAAAGAGGATCAATTCAACAATGAGAGGAGGTCAAAACTTCTCGAGAATTATGAGTGTTTAATATTTCATCATTTCTACTTCAGTTTTCAACAAGTAGTATATTAAACTGCAGCCATTTTCATCTCTAAGCTTTTTTATTTTTAAATCTGCTACAGGGTGTGTGTGCTTGCTGGAAACAGAGTGGAGGAGAGAGGGAAAGTGAGAATGCATACACCAGGGGGATTGACCACACTGCAATCACTTCTCCATTCTCCTCTTTGGATTTTGGGCGTGCATGGACAAACTAACAGGTATGGGACTTAAACTGCGTAGTTGGCCATGTGGGACCCAATTGCCTTAACACCAGGCCAAATGGTTGGTTCCATCCCTAAACTTTTTATCTTTTTCTACTTTTTAATTTTTTCTTACATGAGAAATTAAAAATAAGCACATATAGCTTTACAGCCTGTTTTTCTCAATGTTTTCATAAAGATATACTAAGTAAATTAATCTGTCATGTGACTATCATCGCCTTGAGAAGGGTGTCTATGCTGACCTAATTATCTAGTGAAAATTCCCAAGTTCCCTTGGCTAATAGGGTGACGTACGGAAATCCCATCTTTCTCTTTCATGCTAAGTCCTTGACCACTCACAACTGTTAATATTTTCTCAAGTATGCAGAACCCACTGGTACTATGTCAAATCTCACTTCCCCACCTCAGTGCTGACACTTCTGCTTACAGCTGTACTGTGGCTGCTTTCTTCTAAGCACCCTGGCAAATAATAGCTCAGCTTTACACCCCCAAAGGGAAACGTAAATACCACACGGTCTTTGGGTTCGTAATTCAAATTCACTTCTATAGGGCCAGCAAGTGGCACAGTGGTTAAGGTGCTGGACTCTCGCATGGCAGACCACGGTTAGAGTCCCAGACCTGGAGGCTTGACACTCATGCTGGGTGCATTTGCATGCATGTCCAAAATCCTGGGAGAAGAATAGAGACATGGCCACAAACCCCCACCCAGGGGTGATTTCTCACTTTCCCTCTCATTGTCTCTCTCCTGTAAGTGCACACACGCTATCGTTAAGACCTTAAAAGAAAAATTCACTTCCTTCAGCCTCCAGATGTCCAACTTTAGCTCAATTCTTAAATTTTTTGCTCTCCATAGTGTTTGTCTTTTCCACCTTTACTTTACCAATTGGCCACAGCCATCAGCTCCTCAATATTTCATCATCAGTAAGTAAGATAGGCAGTTTCAGAGTTAAAAGCACTGAAATGAAAGCTTAAGTTGGTTGTAAGAGAGGGCCTGGAGTTACCAACGGACTGGATTTCCTGTTTTCCTTGTTACTCCTCAATCAGCAGCCTATGACCTTTGTGACCCTCTTTCTGAAACATATTTCCATCAATACATCTTTTTTTTTTTTTTTTTTTAGAGCTTTTTGCTACAGGGCACATGAGCTCGCCAGAAAAACAGAGAGACAGAAAGTGAGAAATCACCCCCCAGGGGGGATGGCCACACCACAATCCCTTCTCCTCCAGTCTCCTCTCGGCATCTTGGGCACGCATGCACACACACCCAGCATGAGTTTAAGCCACTGGGTCCGGGACTCGAACCGCGGTCGACTACATGGGAGTTCAGTGACATAGCCATTATGCTAACTGCTGGTCCCTATACATCTTTTTTTAAATACATCTTTCAAAAACCAAATTTCATTTGCTATCACTGAATTCTGAACTCAGCAATGCTCAGCACAACAGTGACAGAGAATAAGACTTTAGTTTCCAAAACTGATTCCCTTTTGTTAAAATAAAGAAATATGATTTAAGGTAACAAATAAAATGCCTCAATAGAAAATTGCCCATGAATTTCTTTGAGGATTTTCAAAGTATCATCACTTATGGATACTCGCATTCGCTTTATTAGCCAGAGTTGATACTTTGCAAACATTGTGGTTTTCACGTACATCACTCTGAATCTGCATCATGTTTTTGGCCAGTTCAAAGCTCATGGCATCAGGAAGCATGTTGTAGGTATGGATTATATTCCTGTAGTTGGCATTGGTGGCCACTTCCTGAGATTTCTTGGCTGCCACCACACTGAACATGTCCACTGGGGTGTGGAAGGATGTCTTGGATTTCTCGTACGCCTTCTTGTACTCCCGATCTGACTGCATCTTGGCCACTTGCATGAAGTGCACCAACTTGGGGTCGTCCTCCAGGCTCCGGAAGCCGATGTGCTTCCCTTTGGCTTGCTCATAGGCTTGCTTGTATTTGTACTGTGGACAGGAAGGAAAGCGTGGTGATGAAAAAGGTGAGCAGCGGAGAACACGACATTAGCTTTGCCTTAGGTGAAGGGTTTTAGAGCTGCTCTAAAAGTAGACAGGGGGAGCTCACAAGGGGAAAGAAGCAAAATCCTTTTACTTTAAACTTCTTTCCAGCCTTGATTGCATGGAAGGAAAGTGATCTCAGAGTTCGTCAAACAAATGTGTAAATAAGTTGGTTTAGGGTGACTGAGAGAGCACTTTCCTGTCTGAGCATTAGAAAAGACGGAAGACATGATTTCCCATGGCTCATCTTTAAATTCAAGAGCAAGCCAGGCCATGGGTATCCGGGGTAAAATATGTAGATTGCATCCCTCTGTTTACTTAGAATCACCTACAAATGCTTTGTTATTTATTTATTTTTTTTTTTTGAGATATTTGTGCTAGAGGGTGCATGCATGTGCCAGAGAGACAGAAAATCAGAAATCACCCTAGGGGGGGGGGTGGCCATGCTGCCATCCCTTCTCCATTCTCCTTTCAGGATTCTGGGCACACGCACACGTGCCTGGAGTGAGTTTTAAGTCACGGGGTCTGGCACTCAAACTGAGATCCACATCTACATGGGAGTCCACAGACGTAACCATTACGCCATTTGCTGGTCTCTAAATGCTTTGTTATTTTTAAAAGTCAAGTATTTTAACAAGTCACTTTTTACATTAAATAATAAAACAAATGAATAAATGATTAGCAGGTACTTGGACTGGATAAAGGAGCTATCGTGTCCCATGAGATGTGTTCCCACCAACACTTAATGGGGCTGCTCACAGCTCTTGAATGCACACGAGGTCAGCTCACTTGCTCTGACTGGCTCAGCCTAGAGAAGGCCCAGAGGAAGCACTTACATCACTGGCAATGTCCCGAGAAGCTCTTGCAGCCTTTATTGGGATGGCATCAGGCCTCAGGTCATATCCTTTCTTCTTTTCTTCTTCCCAGCCAGCTTTGTACAATTTCTAAACAATGAAATAAAACACACACACGTGCACAACAAGAGCATCATGTTACTTGGGTTAGAATGGGGACCAGGATTTCGAGGTGGCTAGCATGTAGATGTAACATTCCGTATTATTTGTTCCTTTAAACCTTCCCCACTTTTGTTGTTCATCGACTTACATCACTCATGGTGATTTGGTTTACTCTGGAGAGTAAAATATCGGGAGTGTCAGGCATGACGTGAATGGTGGTCTTGTCTTTGTTCCATTTTTCAGTGTAGCGTCTCTGTAACAAGAAGGTCGGGTATGGTTTTATAGCAGAACAAGTTTGTAATAATGCTAGCAAGAGACATCTCCATGCTATAAAAAGTTAGATCTGATATTGGGAAATGAATAAAAGAACAAGAAAATGGGTTAAGGAAACTGGATACACAATGGAAAAAAAACAAAGAAGGAAATCCTTTTCCACTGAAGCAACAAGTACATTTTGCTTCAGCTTTACCACTATGTTGGGTTCTGTAAATTTGTTGTATTGTTAACATGGTGCTGAGAGATGACCCTCAGGTTCATATAAGAAAGAGCTCTCTAGACGTTATGAAAGTGGAGAGTCCCCTGCCCCGACCATCATCCTGGCCATCAGAAAGATGAAAACTCCAAAAATGATGGGGCACTGCCAGGCTCAGTGGCATGAGCACTGTAAAGTCCTCAGGCTGAGATGGGGTCTTACCTTGTCCATAGTTAATTTATTACTTTTGTTGAGGGCCTGTTCCATCGTGTCCATGGAGTATGTGAACTTCAGCTTCTCAGGGTGCTGGCGATACTTCTTCTCACTGAGAATCTCTCCGGCCTTCTTTGCCTTCTCCACCTCCAGGGATTCTATTGGGACCCAGCCAATCCCTTTCATCCAGTTGGTGAAGTCAGATTTATATAGATTCTTTAGAATGGAAAAGGAAATTTTGTTTCAGAAAGAGGACTTGGGTTTCTTTGGCTACATGATTTGCTAATTGTAAAGAAGAAAAAAATGGGGAGGAGGGAGGATAACTTGGTTTTTTTTTTTTTTTTTTTTTTTACTTATGATTTTTTGGGAATAAACTTAGCTATAAAAGTGATTACATTCATGGTGTTAGAACAAGAAGTCCTGAAGTCCAAGAGTTTTTTTGTTTGTTTGTTTTTGAGATTTTTGCTATAGGGCACATGTGCTTGCTAGAGAGACAGAATGACAGAAAGGGAGAAATCACCCCCCCACCCCTGGGGGGGTTGGGAGATGGCCATGCCACAATCTCTTCTCCTCCATTCTTCTCTTGGGACCTTGGGCACGCAAGCACATGAGCCCAGCATGAGTTTTAAGCCCCTGCGTCCAGGACTCAAACTGTGGTCTACGCTGTGAAAGCCCAGTGATGTAACCATTACGCCATCTGCTGGTCCCCAAGAGTTCCTTTAAAAAGTTATCTTTCTTGGAGCAGGTGGTGTGGTGGTTAAAGTGCTAGATTTCCACGCTGCTAACCATGGTTTGAGCCCAGACTCAGTGACTTAGAAATTACAACAAACACATAGATGCATCAATAAATACTTTTTTTTTCTTTCTTGAGGAAAAGAAGTGGAAAATTAACAGAATTTTGCACTGGAAGGAATACTATATGTCACCTATTTGAGCCTCTTAACTTTTCATAGACTACATCATATGTCGGTCTTTTAAACATCCAAAGTTTTAAACATATATGTATATTACAACAACAACAACGAAGCTACATGTAGTTCATTTGGGTAAAGCCCTGAAACTCTGAGTTCTGGAGGGGACTGTCACTACAGTGAGTGCAGCAGGTTGAGGATGGGGCACTTTCTTGCTCTTTCTTCCCGCCCACTGGAAATGGGAAACTCCACTGACAGAGCTGCCTGCGGAACTGTACGTACATCACTCTGGATCTGCATGGCGTTTCTCGAGTGCTCCACGTTCAAGGCATCAGGCAGAAGAGTGTAGTTGTGGAAGGGCTGTTTGTAATTGGCGTTGGTAGCAACCTCCTGAGATTTCTTTGCAGCTGTCACACTGAGCATGTCCAAAGGTGTGTGGTACCTGGTCTTGCTGGCTTCGTAGCCCTTCTTGTACTCACGATCGGACTGTATTTTAGCCACATGCATGTAGTGAACCAGTTTAGGGTCATCCTGAAGACTGAGAAATCCAATTTGCTTGCCTTTGGCTTTCTCATAGGCCTCCTTATATTTGCACTATTTGAGAAAGAAGGGCAGTCAAGTTTGATGGAAGTTTTATATAAGCTGCATTTATCCAACAAAGTTGTTAGAGCAAAATTTAGTTTGGAACTAGGTAACAGGTAAGGCTATGGTTTTGTTCTTAGTATTTAAAATAAACAACAAGCAGAATATTTCTAATGGATGGTACTGAGAGCAGCTGTGGGGATAATTAACGATGGAAGAACTTGTAGTCCATATACAGATTGCTCATAAGATTCTTTAGATATGTTCAAGGTTCCTGAACAATCTGCTTATTAAACACCAATGCGTATTTCTTATCTCATTTCCATTATTAGTTTGCATTACCTGATGACGTATTTGCATAATCATGAATACATTTCAGCGAAGTCCTAATACAAATCAGTGTATTGGACACCAAATGAATGACTGTTCACTCCATCAAGACATTTATCACCTCAATTCATACGGAAAATATAACTTACTTTGTGAAAAGTAACTAATTAAAATCCTGGTCAATCTATAATTCTTCCGGGCTTTCATTTTTCACTAGATTTTTTTTCCTTATGAAAATGATAACAATTTAAAATTGCATTCTTTTAAAATACTTGAAGTGTTTTTGATTTAGTGATTTTTTTGTATCCTAATACTTCAGTCTTGATCAAATCCAAGTAAGAAGGGATTTTAACATTCATAATAATATGAAGGAGAGTTCCAGATATTTCACAGTTCAAAGGAAATTTCTTCTTTTTAACAACCGTATGGAGTTTTTAAAGATATTTTAAGTGAGACATTGTGAAAATAATTATTAGCATTTAGGCTATTGGGGAATATTATAATACTAACATTTCTTTAATAGTTTTGTTCATACAGTTTTATACACTATGTACAGATTTTAAAACTATGCAGAGAGAAAGTTCAATACTTTCAAATAGACTTACATCACTGGCAATATTCCTTGAACTTTTGGCAGCAACGATTGGAATGGCATCTGGTCTCAAATCGTAGCCTTTAGCAATGATTTTCTTCCAGTCTGCTTTATAATGAGCCTTCAAAAAACAGAAAGATTCTTATTTGACATCATTAAAAGAAGAATAAAACAGGATGTCAAAATGTTTCCTACACAACTATATCACAAATATCCTTTTATATTACTATATAGAATTCGTAGAGCTAGGTTATTATTTTAATAGTTCATCTTTTATGTATGTATTAATTATTTTTTTAAATGTTAGTAAACTGCACTGGCCCAATAGTGCAGTGGTTAAGTGCTATGTGGATGGAGCCGGATCCCACATGGTTGACCATAGGTTGAATCCTGGCCCTAGTGGCTTGAAGGAGTCACCAGGCACATATATGTGTGTATGTCCAGGATCCTGACAGGAAGAAAGAATGGAGAAAAGGGGTGTTTTCTCTTTCTGACATGTACATGTATTCTCTGACATTAAAAAAAAAGTTAGTAGGGACCAGCAGTTGGTGTGATGGCTATGTTGCTGGACTCCCATGTAGTCAAATACTGTTCGAGTCCTAGACCTGGTGGTTTAAACTGACACCAGGCACGTCTGCATGTGTGCCCAAGATCCCGAGAGGAGAATGGAGGAGAAGGGATTGTGGCATGGCCATTCCCCTGAGGGATGATTTCTCGCTTTTTGTCTGTCTCTCTCTGCCTTTCTAGCAAGTGCACATGCCCTATAGCAGAAACCTCTCCAAAAAAAATGTTAGTAAACTGTATATGCGGTATAATCTCGATTGATTAAAAATATCTACGTTTGCATAGTAAAGCAATGAAAAGGTAAAGGTTTGAATGTGATATTACAGATTTTCATAATTTTTAAACTTTCTATAAGTGCTTGAGACTTTTGAAAAAAAGTTTTATGTAATGATGCATTTAAAACTTGGAGAAAGATATGGATACTAAACTTAAAAATATGACTGTAATACCATCCAGCTTTAATTGAACTTCATCCTTAAATATTACTTATAATATTAGAAAAAAAGGCCAACCCCATAGTGTGGCAGTTAAAGTGGCTAGATCCCACGTGGCCAACTGTGCAGTTCAAGTCCCAGACTCAGTGGCTTGAAAGACATGTTGGGCACATATACTTGTGTGTCCAAAATCTCAGAAGGAGAAATGGGCAAAAAGGGATTGCAGCATGACTACCACTCCATAGGGGATGCTTTCTCCCTCCCCCCACCCCACCACTGTTGCTCTCTGGTGAGCACACGTGCCCACTAGCAATTCTGTATTAGAAAAAAATTTAAATGAACCACTTACATATAAATATGTATGAAAAAGTGTTTATTACAGGACAAAACAGAGCCTAAAAACATTGGGAAGAATGACTAAGCTGCCTCCTAAGAAATAAACAATTTTATCCAAGGTCGATTATGTTTCTAAATGAAAATCTCCAACATTTAAGAACAAAGAAAATAATTCTTAATGGTTGATTTAAACATTATTGTCAATTAGGTAGCTAGATTACTAAAGAGAGCTAGAGTTTCTGAAGAAAATTAAAATTTCCTATAAGTTTTAATAAATAATTGACATAAAAGTTACACAACGTGATGTTTATCCTTACTAGAGACTACATCATATTCTTCTATTTTCCTATATAGTCTTTCCCTTTTTGTCCTTTTCTTTTTTTAAATAAAGTATGACTTACTCATTTTACAACTCACTAATGAGTCACCACTCACAGTTTGAAAAAGTCTTAAGTGAAATTTTATGGTGGCTTCTAGTTGTCCCATGCGAGGCCAATCTGGAACCCCAAAGAGTCCATACGCTGTTTGCTCCCCTTAAAATCCTCAGTGTAAGAGCTACACAAAACTGGCCCACGTAGGCGATATTAGACGGGCACCAGCCAAGTACTCACATCACTCATGTTGAGGGCGTTGACCTTGGCCTGAATAAACTGAGGCACTTCAGGGTCCATAGTGTACTTGTGCTTTAGCTTCTCCCCTTCTACCTTGTAGTTCAACTGAAAACAAAGCAGCAGCATGTACATATCGTTAGTGGACCAAATGGAAGTTGTATTAAACAAACTGCTAGCTATGGTTTGAATATACCTCTCTAAAGTTCCTGTGTGGAAAACTTAATCCCCAGTGCAATGGTAGTAAGTGGTAAGATCTTTAAGAGGTAATTAGATCATAAGGGCTCTGCTCTTACGAATGGATTAATGTCACTATCACAAGAATGGGTTAATTATCATGGGAGTGGGCTCCTGATTAAAGGGTAAATTTGGCCTTATTTGATCTCAGCATCGCACGCTTACTCATGATGGTGCTGTCTACCAGGGGATGACCTTCATCACACGCTAACATGGTGCTCTTGGACTTCTTAACCTCCAGAACTGTGAGCCAAATAAAGTTCTCTTTGGCTGTAGTATTCTATTATAGTAGGGAAATGGACTAGGACACATATATTCCTTAAAAAAAAAAAAAGGCTATCACTTGCATTTTCCATATACAAGGAAAATACCTACACTACCATAGGAAAGGGGCTTTGGTAGACATATTTATGTCATCATTCCATCAATATTTATTGGAAAGCATTGTAGGCCAGGTAGACTCTGTGTTGAAAGCCCTACAGCAGAGGGTCTTTTCGGCCAAGTTAATGAGTTTAGATTTTACCATTCCTAACAGGTTTTACATGTAGGAGGGACATGACTTGATTTGTGTTTTAAGATGATCTTTCTTGTTATCTGAGACCAGAGGCAGGGAGTTCAGATAACAGGTTACTACAGTTGTCTACATGAGAGATACAGAAGCTAGAACTAGGGCCGGTGACAACTGATGACAAAGTCCTTCAACAAGTTGGCTGAGAACTACTTAGGCAGTTGACTTAGCAGATGAACTGGAGGTGGGGATTCATGCAGGGAGAGGTTAATAGTGGCAGTCAGGTTTCTGGCTCCAGGAACTAGGTAGATGCTGATGGCATTTACTGGGATGGAGACACCGAAGACAGTGAGAGTACAGTCTTCCTAGCTTAGGAAAATGCAGTAAAAGCAACACCTTGCTCAGTACCGAAGAAATCAAAAGAATCGACACCATTTATTACTACTACAACAGAATTATCGTTAAACATATACAGTACTGTGGGGGCAGGGACTATACTGAGAAAGAAAATCCACAGATAATCCCTCACTCCCAGGAAAACAAAATCTGGGGCTAAAAAGCACAAGGAATCTTCTCTTTGTCCTTTATTTACCTCCCTCTTTCTGGTATAGGGATTTTAATAGGTCTTTGAAATTAGCATATGATGTGAAGCACTGAACATTGTATTGTAATTAACCTCTGAGTAAAAGAATAAGGGTCCAGATAGACCTGGGCTCTGAAATGAGACCCCAGATGACTTCTCAAATAAGTTGCTTCATTGCCTCAGGGGCCTTATTCTAAAATTGCCTCTCAGAACTTGAAGCTATTATGCAAGGGGATTAGGACATTCTGCCTTTCCCCTGAGTAGTGAGCTAGAAGGAATGCAGCCCAGGGCAATCCAAAGAGAGTCACAGATGACAACAGCAGTAATGTTACTTTGTTTGTATAATGGGTAGGGGTCTGCTTATGAATTGCTCCAAAGCTCTACATTTGGAAAACAAATCTAATTTGGAACATTCCCCCTTTTCCCTATATTCAAGTTCCAAGTTGTTTCGGAACTAAAACTTTTTCCTCAAACCTCTGAATGCAGTCTGTTTGCTGATACAGATGTACCCTCACGTACTGAATTAAGGAGGACGGTAGTGGCTTGGCCATGGGGGTATTATTCATGGATAAACCTTTTGAAGGGAAACCACTTACATCACTCAGCTGCTTCGTGTTCTGCTGAGCTAAAACCATGCCCATGGAATCAGGCACACTTGTGAACTTGATGGTGTCTGGGTGCTGTCGATACTTCCTCTCATTTAATGCATCGCCTGCTTTCTTGGCTTTCTCAACCTCCAGAGAACCAATAGGGATCCAACCAATGCCCTTGAAGAAGTTGTTATACTCGTCCTTGTACACATTCTGTAAAAGAGGAGGCTCATATGAGGAAATATTCTAGAGAATATTCAAGGGATGTTTCTGGGATCTGCAATTTTTACCCACGGGAAACAAATAGCACCCTTCTTGGCATGTTTGTGTCTGTCTCAGGGCTCATTACCTGGAATTCGATAATAAGAAAAAGCACTGCTGGGGGCCAGCAGATGGCATGGTGGTTAAAGTGTTGGACTTCCACATGGTCTAATGGCATTTGCTTTCTCACTTTCCCTTTCTCTCTCTCTCTCTCTCTCTCTCTCTTTCTGTGTGTGTGTGTGTGTCTCTGGTCAAATTGAAAAATAATAGTAATAATGATAATAAACAATAAAATTAAGTAATTTTTTTAAAGTAAAAGCACTTCTGTTGTTAGAGTGCATCATATTAAACAGAAAGAAATCTGGGTAACGTATTTCCATGGGTACTGCTAAAAATTTTTTTGTCTCTTTTAGCAATAAATTGGGCTTTCCCTTTGATTTCAGTAAAGACTCTAAAATTTAAAATGTACCCACACTGTCCACCTAGGCTATCCCTGGTCTCAGCTGGGGAGAGATTGTTTCATCAGTAAATGACTAGCATTTTTTCCCTTTACAGAGGACAGTTCTTACAGAAATCAGGCTTCTGCAGGAGGAAATGCCCTGAATGTTAAACATCTCCCAATGCAGCTCTCTATGAATCATGCTGCAAGCACAAAGCCTTCCCAGTTCATTTTAGATGACTCATTACATAGATTTACATGGATGACAGTATGACCTTGAGTTGAAAAAAAGAAAAAGAAAAAAACTTTTCTGAATTCAGAAAGAATAGAGAATTCTCTTATTTGCATTATGTACCTATCGCCCTTGAAGCAGGCTCAGCAGAAGCCCTCATGTGCTCTGGCTGAGAATCAAGGGAGTTTAAATAGTTAATGGAATAGCATTTTTGTCTTTCATCCATAAGTTCATAAAGACAATGTCCATGATTATATATAAGTACAGAAAGCCAGCAGAAACATGGCTTGTCTACCACGCCTTGGCAGCTGTTCACTCTACAGTGCATTTTGCAAACATCCTACTGGATCTTGAATGTCATGAAACAGAAATGATCATCCCTTCAGTTCAAACATCTCCGGGTCTGTTGTACACACTTACATCGCTCTGAATTTGATTTGCATTCCTAGTATGCTCGAGACTCATGGCGTCAGGCAGGTATGTGTAATGATGTATTGGCTGCTTGTAGTTGACATTGGTGGCAACATCCTGGGCCATCTTTGCAGCTGTAATGCTAACCATGTCCCCAGGGGTATGGTAGCTGGTTTTGGTGTTCTCATAGTTCTTCTTGTATTCACGATCAGACTGCAGTTTCGCCACATTCATGTAGTGGACCAGTTTGGGGTCATCCTGTAGGCTTCTAAAGCCCACATGCTTTCCCTTTGACTTCTCATAAGCTTCTTTGTATTTATACTGCAGAGATAGAATTTAGTTAGCAGAGTCCTAGGCAATGATGATATTATGTATAACAGTTGTCATTCACACACAAAGACACTTAGGACATTGTGACTTTCTGCAAGAAATGCACTCTCTCCTCCCCTCCCAGAAAATCAGAATGAAAACTTATTTCAGATAGTGCTGGTGTTTCAAGAGAGTGTCATAACAAACTTAAGGCCAGTTTCTTTTCTTTGCTATGATTCCTACAAATTATTTGCATGTAGAACATTACTTAAATCCAACAGAATTTTGCACTTAATATCAACATGATACTCCAAATTTAAGATCAATATCACTTGGTTACACAAGGATGTGAATTTTCCCAATCCAATTGTGACCTCACCACGGGATATAAGGACCTGCTAAGCAGGTAGCTGGGCCTCCACCCACCCCTTTTCTCAGCAGTTATCTCTGAGCTCACTGCTGAGGCAGCTGCAGAGGCATTCAAGAGCTATAGTGGGAAGGGCAGGAACTGCTGTGGGGTTTTTGCATCAGTAAAAACCTAACAGCAAAAGCTCTGCTGTTCAAGGTCACTCATTGCTGAGATCAGCAATCAGATGTAAATTGAGCTATCCTGTAATAGGTCAAAACCTCAATTTTTATGCAAGAGAATTCAAATACACCTAAACCCCACACAGCTCCTGCAGTTTAAGCATCAATTCATAAACAAGAGTTTATCAGGGAAAAGAATTATTAGGTAATTTCCACTCACATTAGAGAAAGTACTATGCAAGTGCTCAAAAAAGAAGGATAAAGTTACACTTACACCTTCTAGAAGTAGAAATGTTTTTCATGGTGCTATGCACTATTTGCAAACCTTCCAGGAGGACGTTTTTACAACTATCCCTATAAGGAAGGCTGTAGAGTTCTTACACTCCAGTCTCCCGTGTGGTCTGTACCCAGCCTTGGTTTCTTCTCTTTTCTCAAACCAAGACTTAGCCTCTGAGATACTGTGTAATAGTGAACTTGGCAGGCCATGCATACTTTCTAAAATTTTTACTTTTCAAAGATGGGGAGATGAATAAACATACACCTTTGCTATTACAGATGAAATGGGCATCAACTTGCATGAATCGCAATTACATGTTGAAGAAGTGGGCTTTCCTCCACTTGGTTTGTAAAAATCTTACATTTTATATAACATCTTTTCAATCTTCTTAATACAATTGTAATGCAGGCAGTCATTTGAGTCTAGCGCGTTCTTGTCAGTCAGGGTGTTCCCACAGAAAATAAATGGGAGCTGTCAGGGGAATGTGTCAGTGGAGGTAATCTGGGCTATGAATCAGGGCAGAAAGGCATTGCCAGCTTTATGGCAGCTCTGCCAAGTGGGGGTCAACGGAAAAGAACCACAAAAATCTTGAAAAAGTGACAGATTGTCAAAACAATGTTTTGTACAGACTTAAACGTCATCAATTCAACATATTGTTTTCAGTAAGGTATCAATTTAAACAAAACACACATTGATTACAGGCAATCCACCTAACTTAGGCCAAAAACTTGTACTCACATCACTGGCAATGTTTCTTGATGACTTGGCCGCAGTGATAGGAATGGCATCGCCCAGGACATTGTTGCCCTTGGCTATTAAATCATGCCAGTCCCGTTTGTAACAGACCTGGATAGAAAAACAAAAAGGATGTCAGCCTGCTGTGTACTGGATATTGTTTTGTTCTTTTCAGACACAAGCTAAAGAAATTCCCTGTGGCACGTACTGTTTCAGGAAGCCACGTCAGCAAAGCATCCCACAGTGTGAGTGGCAGAAAATCATTGCACTCTGCACTAATTAGTCACCTAAATGTGGCATGGCACTTGAGTGAAAGGCATAGTGGAAAACTGGAGTGGATCCACGGAAAACTAATAAAGGCTCTGGAAACCACAGTGTGGGAGGACCAGCTAGAGACAATGAGGTTGTTAAGTCTCATACAAGGAAAGCCGAGAGAAGACCTGCTAGTCAGCTTTAGAAATTTTACAGATGTTATTATTATTTTTTTAAAAAAAGGATTTCATTTTTTGTATTTTTCTGGAAGATAATAACTTCTCCCATGTGCAAAACTAGGAAAGCTAAGTCGATGTTTTAAGAAAATGGTGATTCTACATAAAGAAGAGTGTCATATCCTTTAGAGTTGCCCTGTGTTTCAAGGGGCCAACCGAAGAACTCTCCTCACAGGACAGGCTCTGATGGAAGCTTATGGGAAATTGAACTAAATAATCATTAAGGCACCATCTTACTCTAAAACCCTATTATTTTATTGTTAGGCCTGAATTTCACACGCCATTGAAGACCTTACTTACATCACTTATATTGTAAGCATTGCACTTGGCTTGGAGAAATTGAGGAAGATCAGGACTGATGGTGTATTTGTGTTTCACATCTTCTCCTTTAGCTTTGTATAAGATCTGCAAGACAGTCACAAAAATAATAAGCATTTCATACAGCAATAAAAGAAAAACGCATTAATCTCATGCTTAAAGGGGTTTTTTCCTAGTACAATCCCCACTATCTCTATTATTAAAAACCAGTATTTTCCTAGTTTTTTAAAAAAACAAGCATCTTGTTTTCTTTTGGAAGACCCTAAAACTCTGTGTATTTAGATAGGGATGTAAAAATTTTCAAGAAAACAGAAATCTGACTGCCAAGGATGAATGGGAAGTAAATTCAAATATCAAACCCCAACATGACTAACAGAATTCAGTGCAGTTTATTCTTTACCAATTCTTAAAGTTTTGTTTTGTTTTGTTTATTCTTTTTTAAATATATAGAGAAAAAATAGTAGTTAGAATGAGTCTTTTGCTTCTGCTAAAATATTCCAACTCTCATTTTATCAGTAAAACCATCCAGTCTCACAACAGGAAGACGCACACAGAAGAACCTGGTCTGCTTGCGTGGTTTACTCCTTCCTACCTACCTTATATTATTATCTTAGAGAATTACATGCTCTTCACTGAAAGATATTGAAGTATATGATGTGGAAATCTTACTGTATCCTTTTCTTGGCAATGGAAAGTAAACAAACTGTTTAATTCCTAAAACTGAAATAAAGAGGTCGATAGGTGGCATAGTGGTTAAAGGCACTAGACTCCCACATGGGCGATTGTGGTTTGAATGCCAGACCTAGAGGCTTGCTTTCTTACTCTCTTTCTCTCTCCCTTCCCCTCTCTCTCTCCCTCCCCCTCTCTCTCTCTCCCTTCCCCTCTCTCTCTCTCTTCCCCTCTCTGGTCAAAATGAAAAATAAGTAAATAACTAAATAAAGTTAAATGAAATAATTCTTTTTTTTTCTTTTCTTTTTTTTTTTTTTTGAGAGGTTTTTTGCTATAGGGCGCGTGCGCTCGCCAGACAGACAGAGAGAGACATAGAGACAGAAAGCAAGAAATCACCCCCCCCCAGGGGATGGTCACGCCGCAATCCCTTCTCCATTCTCCTCTTGGGATCTTGGGCACGCACGCGACTGGCGTGAGTTCTAAGCCACCAGGTCCGGGATGCGAACCGCGGTCGACTACGTGGGAATCCAGAGACATAGCCATTACGCTAACTGCTGGTTCCCAATGAAATAATTCTTTAAAAAAAACTAAAATAGAATTGGAATCAGAAGTAGATGTTCAATCTCTTCATTGTCATTTAGTATAACCCTCATTTCCCTGACATGTCTGTGTGGCATATCATAAGTTGACTTGTGCACATACACAAAAGAACCTCAAAAAGTTCATGGAAAATGAAGTAAAAGTATAGGTTTATTTTGATGCAAAATTTTGAAATTCATGGTTTTCCTGTACTAGATGTCTTCCTTAAACTTTTTGAAGACTCCCTTGTCCCACAAGTAAAAGCTATAATGACTGATACCTAAATTAATCCCCAAATGCTAAATGATTTCGTCTAAAAATTCAAGAGTTATCTTTAATTGCTCACTGCCTAACAACCCCTAAGTATTTACAGAATCTCACAAATTCTACCTTTTAAACATCACATTCTCATTGCTATTGCCTTAGTTTAAATCTAACTAAAAAAATTTTTTAACAGTCTTCTGATTAATCTCCTTGTGTTCACTTTCCCTCCTTTCCAAAGTCTCCACATATTTTTGTCTCGATTATCTTTTAAAGCGTAGACCTGGCAACGCAGCTTCATAGATTCAAATTCTTCAACAGCTCCCTTTCCCTAGCTCAGAACTTCTAGAAGAGTCAAATAAGCACGCAAGACCATCAATGATTAGGGCACTACCCTTAACCCGTCACTGTCCTTTTAGTCATTCCTTCCTAATTGTTGCTATAATGTTCTTTTTTTGCCAAAAATTTGAGGGAAACTGGAGGGCAGATACCCACATCCCTGGTACCTACTTACCACAGTCCTTTCCTGCTGCACTCTCCTCTCTGTATGGCAATGCTCTGTTTATGTCCACATCTTTGTCTTATGTTCTCTTTAAAAATATATTTTATTTAATTTTATTTATTCATTCTTTTATTTATTTCAATTTGACCAGAGAGGGATAGAGAGAGAAAGAGCAAGCTGCCAGGTCCAGGACTCAAACCGTAGTCACTCATGTGAGAATCCAGCACCCTTAACCACCCAGCCACCTGCCAGCCCCTGTCTTATGTTCTTGTCCTATATTCTTGTTAATTCCTATATCCTACTCACCTTCACCTTTGTCATCCTTATACCATCAGCACATAATACAGTGCCTGGTACAGGGCGGGCGCTCAAAAACATTCATTAAATCGATTAGTAAGTGACTGCCTTGATATCTCTTTATTTCCCTCTATACACCAAACTTGCTTTTAGAAGCTAACTTTAACCAGAGCATATATACTGGTCATGGACAGCAGGAAAACAACAATCTCCATCAAGAAATAAGTTAAAAGCCTCTATAATTAGTCAAGATGCTGAATTCTAAGAAGCCAAAATATATATTCATATGTATTATTTACCTATGTTAATGTTTTATATATGACAAGTAAATACGAACAACTTAATACAAAATGAAATACAATGAATTTGCCACAGTCAAGGGTCTGAAATTTAAGCTTAAGCTGTGTGTGTTCATTTCTAAAATATAACTCTTTTTACCGTGTCAAATTTACCCAATAGCACACTATTTCAAAGACAACTTTAAAAAAGGTTTTTAAAAGGAAGGTATAAAGCAAGATATAGGGGAGAAAATGTAATAATTGCAATTTTATTTTTAAATTAAGAAAAAAATAATAAATCTCAAATGAAAACATACTAGCTCAGAAGAATATAAATGTTGAACTGCTATATGTGTGTGTGTGTGTATACATACATATATATATATGTGTGTGTATATATATGTATATATATATTTTTTATATCTATATAATATGAGGGTTTTTTTTTAAAGTTTCCTTCCATATCATCTGTCTTTTCTCTGTTGTACTCACATCACTGACTTGCTGTGTATTCTGTTTTGCCTGGACCATAACTGGGGAGTCCACGATGCTGGTAAATTTGAGGGTGTCTGGGTGTTGCCTGTACTTCTTTTCATTCAGGGCATCACCCGCCTTTTTAACTTTTTCTACGTCGAGACTGCCAATGGGTATCCAGCCAATGCCTTTCATCCAGGTATTGTAGTCTTCCTTGTAGGCATTCTACAGCAACAGGAGAAAAGAGGAGTGAGGCCCTGGAAGTAGTTTCTTTCATGGCGGGCTCTGAATTTAAAAGGGGATCGTCTTGTGGAGAAAGCATCACTTACATCGCTCTGTATTTGCATCATGTTTTTAGACAACTCCAGGTCCATGGCATCCGGCAGGTAGGTGTAATGGTGCAGAGCATGTTTATAATTGACATTGCTGACTACATCTTGAGCTTTCTTGGCTGCCACAACATTGAACATGTCATGGGGTGTGTTGTATTTGGTCTTTGTCTTCTCATAGTCTTTTTTATACTCCCGGTCTGACTGTATCTTGGCAACATTCATGTAATGAACCAGTTTAGGATCATCTTGGAGACTTTGGAAGCCCACCATTTTCCCTTTAGCTTTTTCATAATCCTTTTTGTACTGAACCTATTGGAAACAAAGGTGGGGATATTTTAAAATGTAGTTTTGCTGATTTTACTGAACAATAAAGCCATGATGTGAAGTAATTGAGCTTCCTAGAAATTACCACACCTCAATAGCCAAACAATTAGATATTCATTTACATAAACTTTGAAATGTAGCTTAGTAAAATAGAAAGTGTTATTTAGAACCCATTTGATTGCCTGTAGCTGCTTCTGCCCACCCAAAAGTGGTGGGGATGGGGGTGTTACTATGACTCATAACAGTAACAAAATTAATCTCGGTATCATTCCTTTCTACTTAGACACTGGTAGAGAAAATTGAAAAGAAATATTTCACAATTTCTCCCAATTATATTGTACTGCTAGAGCCCCAAGTAGCTGGCTATTTGATTAGTGGTAGAATTTTAGTGTGGTACCAGATTTTTAATGAGTCCCTGGATGTTTAAAGAAAGTTCAGATCCAGTACAGGGTAAGCACTAATTGGCCCTGAATAGTAAAGTGAAGGGGATTGAGTTTCCCTCAGGAAGACCCGGAAAGGACCTTGGGAAACCGGGAAGCAGACATGTGAGGGAAGGCTTATGGTATGTCAGGACTGGGGTAAAGATGACTGGAAAAGAGCACCAGTAGAGGAGCGCGTTAGAGAGAAATGCTGGGTAGGACTTTCAGGACACGGACATTTGCTATTCAATCATGTCTTTACATTGGTGCAATGTAAGCCTAATTGCAAACCAGTAGTAAAGTTGTGCCTGGGATTTGGGAGAAATAAAAATGAAGGGTCTGTGTCCAATCTCTGGATCGTTCAGAATAGAATGAAAAGCAGATTCCCCAGGAGGAGAGCTCAAGTGAGCTCAAGCAAAACCATTATGTGCAAACCAGGAGCCAGAGATGACAAGAAAAACAAAACCCTCAGAGTGTTTGCAGAAATCAAGGGGAAGGGGATTCTACTTCCAAAGGATAACAGGTGGGAACTTGAGTCTTTGTTTTGTTTTGTTTTTAATCTCCAAGAGCAAAGTGACTTCAGTTCACATCTGGGTTAAAGTAAAATAAAACATAAATTTCTTAGTTTAATGGAACCAAGTGACTAACTATTAGGGGCTGTGAAACTTAAGACCAATTTACCTATCTGTAGAAGAAAGGAAGGGGAAGGAGAGGAAAGGTAGAAAAGAAAATCGTGTAATAAAGTTTTACTTTCAGGAGATTATTATGGCTTACATAGTATAATGTAAGCCCACAAGAGGAGTAGCATGAAATTGTGCAGAAACATAGATGAGAATTTTAAATTAGGGTGCTTGATTAGAACTGACCAGTAATGGGGCCAACAGGTGGTGTGAAGGTTAGGGCTCTGGACTTCCACACAGACAACCATGGTTCGAGTCCCAGCCTCACTTTCCCTCTCTCTCTGATAATGACACATGCCCTATACCAATTTTTTTTAAATGATAATAAATAAAATTAAATAATTACTTTTAAACAAAAAACAAATTGACCAATAAAAGGTTATACAAATCCTTTCCCTCAAGAAAATTCAGATCTGTGTAGAAAACTTTCTTTCCTAAGTAGTTTCCAGCCAGCCTTGCTTTCAGTCAGGGATGGCAACATGGCAATTTTGGGATAACCCACCAGCAAGGCTGTCAGCCCCCACATTCCAGCTCTGCATGACTATAGCTGGACTTACGTCACTCGCCGCCTGCCTGGCAGCTTTGGCGGCTTTGATGGGAATCGCATCGGTTCTTAGGTCATAGCCCTTCTTGCTCAAGTCTTTCAGGTCTGCTTTGTACATATTCTGAAAGAAAAATGCCGTTTGATGTCATTCCGAGGCCACATTAGTAAAGGCTGAACACGCACATCAGCTCTGAATCTAGACATGCACCTCGCTGATGTTGTAGGCATTCACTTTAGCTTGAATGAACTGAGGCAGATCAGCCGGCAGGTTGTATTTGTGGAGAATTTCCTCTCCTTTGGCTTTGTAAACGATCTGGAAGAGGGAAAAAAAGCATATACACACAAGTAGAGAAATGTGTTTAATGACACAGGAAAATAATTTTCAAGTGGATGGTACTACACAGAGGTCACTGTGAAAAAGATACTCTGAGTGGCCCTGCATTATCTGAAATTGGTGTAGGCATTCAACATCTCATGTGTAGCTGTGTATGGTCCTGTCTCCTCGCTGGTTCATTCTTGGCAGATCCCTTAGTATTCACTAGGAAACGCTGAACCTATAGAGGCATTGGTGGAAATGGGCCCAGGAAGGTGGCCCAGTGACAGGTCTCTTTACCTGCAGATGCTTTCCTGAGCACATGAACGGCTAATAGGGTACAGCACCCACTTATATTACACTTTGGGGGCAATTAAAGGAACTTACCAGTGCTTTTGACTGTAATGATTTTTGTCTTAACTCTGACCTAAGCTATAACTCCTCTGTTTGATATATTGCCTATATTCATTCATTCAGGTCTTTTCTACAAATAGCTTTATATTGGGTTATTGCAAAAGTCATGAAGCATTTTTACATATAAAAACTTATCATAACTTTCCCAATGACCTAATAGTTTCTCTTCTCATTAAGAAAAATTCCTCTCACCTTTTTCTTAGAAAGTGATACCAAATGGCTAAAATGACAGCACAATTATTACTGCCATAGCATTATTTTGAAGATATAAATAAAAAAGTACTTTACCAATGAATAGCTGGAGAATAATATAGTTGCTCAGATAAATGAGGCTCTTCAGATTATGTAGGTCCATTTGAAATACAAATGTGTTTATAATAGTTAACATTGATTAAAATATAGATAGGATTAGCACTTACATCACTCCTTTGGGCCTGGTTAATTTTAGACTGTACTGTAATTGGAGCATCTTCAATCGACGTAAACTTGAGTGTATCTGGATGTTGCCGGTATTTTTTCTGTTTGGCAAATCAAAAAGAAAGACAACCACGTGACTTTTCACCAAAGGCTAGGATAGTAGGATCTTTGCCATTTATGTTGGATGACCAAGGAATGTATTTTTTTAATTTAAAAATATGAAAATATTGCATTCTTGATTGGCTTGGGGGAAAAATGAATTGACTACAAAAACACATGTCTTACAATTTGGTTTCACTTCGGTTGGTTCAGACAGTACAGACGAGTACAATTCTCAGGAACCTTTAGTTTATTACTTATGACAAGGAAAAAAGGTATCTCAGCCAAGCAGAATCCAGAAACATCACAGAGTTTTCTAAAAGATTAACAGTAAAGCAAGCGAGGAGATCTGTAGTGTCTGTGCACGACACTCACGAGTCTCAGGAACATCATTTTTCCAGTCCCTCCATCCCCAGCTGTAGCGAAAAAGCTCTCCGATTGAGGGAGGAAGAACTGAAGAACGGAGCAACAGCTAGCAATTATTAATAAGAGACAAGACTTTTGTTTTGCAAACCTTAACATAATTAATATATTGGTTATCAGGAAAGCGCTGAGAGGCACAGGTGAGAGGACATTAGGAGGGAGCCAGCAACAGCTAGCTATGCTTCATCCTAATCTTTCTGTTTCCCTGTCCTCTTCCTTTGCGAACATTATTCAGCCCACGTCTGTGTATATAGTGACAGTGCTCTTTTGATTCGGGCTTCTAAAAATCACAACCCAGAAGAATGTTTCTGAAAGATTCTAAGTAAACAAAATTGTCCGTCACCATAAACAAACAAAAGCACTGAGCAACAAGAAAAATAAAAACTTGAGTGTGGAAAAAAACCCTCTGTCCTTTCTACAATCTACCTTCTTTGGTGACATATTCACCTAACAGTGAGGACATTCTGCCACTCATGGAGGAGGCACAGATAATAACCTGGTTGCTTTATAAACCTCAAGGTCATCACTGTTTTTTCTAAGACTGAATAATAATTTACAAACTACCTCAAAGTCATCGAAAAGATGACACAGGGTATAATTTTTCAAAGAAGATTTCTATAACAGCAGCATCATTAATAATCACCAAAAACTGAAACAATTCATATACCCGCCAATTGTTAAAAGAGATCAACAAAATGGGATAAAGCTATACAAAGGAACACTATTCAATAATAAAAATAAATTAATTACAAGCACATACAGAAACATGGTTGAACCCCCAAAATAGATGAGTCAAAAGGAGTCAGATTCTAAGAGAAATATCTTAATAAAGGTCAAATTTTAGACACAGAAAGCAGATCAGTGGTTGTGTGAGGCTGAAGAGAGGATGAGGAATATTTTGAAGAAACGTTTTGGGTGACAGCAAAGTTTTAAATTCAATTGTGATGATGACTTCATGCTTATATAAATTTATTAAAACTCATCCAGGTGTGCACATAACATAGATGAATTTTATGGTATGCAAATTATACCTTGATAAAGTTGCTACAAATATTTCTATCATGAATGGTCAACATAAGTAAGTGATTTTGGTCATATATTGTGTTGTTGGAAAAGTCATGGTTTTTTTTTTGTGCAAAAATGCATCATGACTTTTCCGATGACCCAATAAACTCGATGCTTGTGTACCTGGAAATTCATGCACGTGTTAAGTTTTATTCCTCAGCCACAGTGATCAGAGAATAAAGCAGTAACAGAGGCGTTCCCCATGGTTTTGAGGGTATTAACATTACATGTTCACAGAGCTCTCTCTGACATATTCAATAGCTTTACCTCATTAAGGATGTCTGAAGCTCGCTTGGCCTTTTCCATTTCTAAAGATCCAAAAGGCACCCAGCCACAGCCTTTCATCCAGCTGTTGTAGTCAGCTTTGTATTCAACCTAAAATACCAAGAGAAACGTTACATTTCTATGCTCAGTACCATTCTTAGCATGAAAAATCATTAATGTTTTACCCCAAATGAGGTTTCTAAGAGTCCTGGTCAACTTCCTTACTCCATACGTGAAGGTTACTTTAAACATTTCTTTGGTGAGAAATTTTAACAGCTCTTAGGATTTTTCCTTTCTTCTAATTGGCATACGTTCCATTATATCCTTATTTCCAGCTTAGTGGAAGTAGATGGAACTGTTACTTTAATCTGAAAAGTGTTTGATTCAAAACAATATTTTAGAGAATAAATTAAGTTGTTAGATAATCAAATGTGAGATGGTTGCTCCCTGGGATGCTATTATATTTCTGCAGTCAACTTAGAACTGAGGTCCACATTGAAGGGGAGTAAATGTGCTCATTTCCTGACAAATCTTGATAGTAGTGATTTGTTCTGTTGGTAAACATTGCTTCTTATGTATGCTAGTCAGTTTTGCAGCTTACACTGGCTAACAAAACACTTTAAAATAGTTGTGCTCATTAATTTGCTTGAGGGAGCAGTTATTACTTGTAATTGGTTCTATTTTGGAACCAGTTAGTTGGTGCTATTAGAATAATGAGCTACTCTTGTGCAGCCATAGGTAGTACCTAAAACTGTAGTCTAGATGCAACATTCAAATTGCTGTTCTTTAGTGTGGATCTTTAACTGGAATAAAAAAAAAATCAAGAAATCATTTGGTTCTTGCCCTTGAGAGGCTCCTAATCTACCTGAGATGAAGAAACATGGCAAAAATACATAATTAACACATAGCATAATAATTCTTAAAATAGAATTATTGGTGATGGAAATGTAAATTGTGCCACCTACGTAGAAAATAATACCGCAGTTCCTAAAAATAATTAAAAATACAACAACCATATAATCCAATAATCCAACATAGAAAACAATCTTGAAGAGACATGCACACACCCTTGTTCATTCTAATATGATTCTAAAAATGGCTAAAAGATGGAAACAACCCAAAGGGCCACCAACCAATGAATGTATAAACACAACATGGTATATAAATACAATGGAGTGCTATCCAGCCTTAAAAGGTAAGGACATTCTAACAGGCTTCAGCATGGGTGACCTGAGGATATTATGCTATGTGAAATAAGCCAGTCACGAAAGGATTAATACTGTATGATTCCATGCCTATGAGCTATCTAGAGTTGTCAGACTTATAAAAACAGAAAATAGGATGGGGTGTCATAGGCTAGGAAAAAGAGGGAATGGGGATTTGCTATTTAATCAACAAAGACTTTCATTTTTACAAGATGAAAAATTTCTGAAGATTGGTTGTATAGTAATGTGAATATAACTTAACACTACTGAACTGAACATTGGAAAGTGGTAAATGTACTCAATTTTATGTTATGTATATTTTATCACATTTTAAAAACTAGAATTGCTAGGATGAAGTATTCAACTGTGTAGCACAAATTAATTTGCCTAAAGTAATCTTTGCTCTATGGGGTAAAAAAACCCTAGTTATGGAAATGAATGCTATAAATGATATAATATTTTCTTTTTAGATAACACAGCAATCTACATTTTAAAATATTGATTATGATGAATGTAACGATGATGATAATGTTGATGGTAATATTAGTAAATGTTTATCGAGAACTCACCAGGGCCTACTACCATGCTGGATATCTTATGCATTCAAATCCTCAAAACAATTCTTTTGTTTTATTCCAATTTCACAGAGGAAGACTCTAGACTCAGCAAGGTAGATAACCTTTCCAAAGGGAAATAATGATGGACTATAGGCCAGACCCAGGTCTTCATAACCTTAAAGACCACACTTGCACAAAATCAGAGGGTAATTTTCCCATTTCACACTTGCTTACAGAGGACAATGCAGGGACCTTCGAGCAGTGCCCGAAACATCACTTGATTTAGAAATCTTTTTCAGTTTCCACCTTTGAAAGAGGGAATCAAGAAAACTGGTGACTCACATCACTCTGCAGCGCATAGGCCTTCTTGGCGAGGTCTACATTGATGCTGTCGGGTGGGTAGCTGTAATTGTGTAAGAGGTGCTTGTAGTCCACGTCACTGGCAATTGCCTGGGATTTCTTAGCCTGAGTGACTTGGAGCATATCAAGCGGTGCCGTGTACACGGTTTTTGACTTTTCATAGTCTTTCCGATATTCACGCTGTGAATAGGAAATCACCACTTATTACCACAAATCCTCAATGATTTTCCAGAAAAGCACAGAGATCTCTCAAAAACAAAAAGAAATAGCTCCAAACCTTTGAACAGTTATTTTGCTCCCGAATTTGTTCATATGTTACACATGGTTGAAACTGCCTAGAAACATCACACATGGACAGATCCTCAGAACTATCTTTTTAAAATAAGAGCAACTATCAGAGAGTTGCAACAGACATCAGGAATGGGCCACAGCTGCTTCAGCAAGGGGCTGTTTCATTTTAAAACAAGTTTCTCAGGGGCCCCTACAAACACTATTTCTATTCATGTAATTTTTAAAGAATTTTCTAATAAAGAATATTCTTTTGTAAATAAATAATTATTTATTTACTTAATTCCATTTGTTATTATTATTATTATTATTATTATTTTAATTTAACCAGACAGAGACAGAGAGAGAGAGGGAAAATGAAAAAGCAAGCCACCAAGTCTGGGACTCAAACCGCACACAGTCGGCCATGTAGGAAACCACCATGCCACCTGCCGGCCCCTCTAATAAAAGATTTTCTTAATTAATGAATATCACATAACAATCATTTCATACTTCTGATATTATAAAACGATTACTTCATAAACAACTATGCAGTTAACTTCTTGGCATTATGCTGTCATTTTTAAAGGGATGGCTATTGATTTTTCAGCCTATTATATTCTTCACAATAGACCAGCCCGGTTGAGAATCCCAAAGTTTTTTTTCAAACCAAGTTTAATTTTGGTAACAATTTAAAAAGAAGCTTCAGAGGGGAACCAGCAGTTAGCGTTAATGGCTATGTTGCTGGACTCCCACGTAGTCGACCACGGTTCACGCCCCAGACCCGGTGGCTTAAAACTCACGCTGAGCTCGTGTGTGTGCGTGCCCAAGATCCCGAGAGGAGAATGGAGGAGAAGGGATTGCGGCGTGACCATCCCCCCTGGGGGGTGATTTCTCGCTTTCTGTCTGTCTGTCTCTCTCTGTCTGTCTGGAGAATGCATGCGCCCTAAAGCGAAAAGCTCTCAAAAAATAAAAATAAAAAAAGAAGAAGCTTCAGATTGCAGCAGTTCAAAGACCTCAAAGGGAAAAAGTCTGTGAAACTGAGCCATTAAAGTAACCTTGGCTCTTCTGGATAATGTTCTCATAAAACAAATGTCCTGACTGGGACTCAGGAGGCACCTTCATTGGCCGGTTTTCTGGAACGGCCAGACAGGTGCTAATTAGGTCAAATCCCCAGCGTCTTCATATCCACTCACCAATTATCCTGATGGAAAGAAATCTAGAAAATTCTGAACTCATCTCATCTCCTTCTACACATCAAAGACAGTGAGCAAGTGCAAGCGAGCAGGTGCAGACGGACGTGCATTGTAACTATTCTGTAACAGTCCCTTCTGCGAATGACCCGGTCTTTCAGCTTTCTTAGGGAACTTGATCCTCCTTTTCATGTTTTATGAGTAGTCACTTCCACTGAGTAAATTTATCACTCAATTACAAAAATCTAGACTGTGGTTTATGAAAATAAGAGACTTTCTGATTGACTGCAAAAACACTGAAGAAAATAGTTTGTCTTTATTTAAAAAACAGTGATAAAGCAGTGTTGCAACAGCAGGTGGTATCTGCACATGTTTTTCACTAAACTGTTTCAACTCTTTCATTTGAGACATACCAGCTCACACCTACGAACACATGTAAAATGTTGTCAAAGATCTGACCGGCTTTAAATGTTCTTAAAACAAACAAACAAACAAACAAACAAAAAACAAAACATAACAAAAACTACACATGTTCTATACCTGCAGCTTGACATTCTGTCTAAATATTACATAACAATGACTCATTGACTATTGCTTTCCATCACCAACATCAATCAACTAACAGATTTTTATTAAACATTTATTATGCGACTAGTGTTCTAATGGGTTCTATAATAGGATGAAAACTTAAAGAAAAATACATGTGTCACTAGGAAGCTATAACTTTCTGGAGAAGAGATAAAGAACCAATGAGCAAGGGAACCAACAGTTAGCGTAATGGCTATGTCGCTGGACTCCCACGTAGTCGACCGCGGTTCGCATCCCAGACCCAGTGGCTTAAAACTCACGTCAGGCACGTGTGCGTGCGTGCCCAAGATCCCGAGAGGAGACTGGAGGAGAAGGGATTGCGGCGTGACCATCCCCCTGGGGGGTGATTTCTCGCTTTCTGTCTCTATGTCTCTCCTTGTCTGTCTGGCAAGCGCATGCGCTCTGTAGTGAAAACCTCTCCAAAAAAAAAGAAAAAAAAGAACCAATGAGCAAGATAGCATTATATATGTGAGCACTGTATAATGACATAACTCAGCATAAAGTTATTAAAGCACAAAAAGTACTGAATTGGATTTATTTGCTATAGGGTATGTGCATTCACCAGGGACAGACAGAAAGAGAGAGACAAAGTGAGAAATCACCCCCCAGGGGTGATGGCTAGGCCAAAATCCCTCCTCCTCCAGTCTCCTCTTGGAATTTTGGGCAGGCACATGTATGCACCTGGCATGATTTTCAAACCACCAGATCCCAGACTTGAACTGCACTGTCAGCCATATGGGATCCAGGTAACCTCTACATCACCTGCCGGCCCTGAATTGGATGTTTTAAAGTGCTACATTACTATTTAGTGAATGCAAGATGAGTTAAAGAAGGTATGAATCATAAGATCATTATCTCAACACATGTTCGAAATTAAATAATACAAACACCCTTTTCTTCTAGCAAGAAAAATTAGTTATTTACAATCTATGTTGAACATTCTTACCACTCTTAAAAGATTCTCCAAACATTTTTAAAACACGTTAGGTTGTTGGGACAGTCGTAACACATTTTTACATGGAAAAATATGACATGACTTTCCCTGCAACCTAATGGTAAACATACTGTTATTGGCAAGAGAGGTTTGTCTCTCTCCAGTTTATCTTTTCTTTTAAGGTTTTTGTCATAGGGCACATGTGCTCACTGGAGAGAGACAGAGAAAGAAAGTGAGAGAGGAAGTGAGAAATCATCACCTCTGTGGGGGAGGGTCTCTGTAGTTTTTTTTTTTTGAAAGATTTTTGCTATAGGGCACATGTGCTCTCTGGACAGACAGAGTCAGAGCAAAAGACAAAACACCCCCCCCCCCCCCCCAGGGGGATGGCCATGCTGCAATCCCTTCTCCTCCATTCTCTTCTTGGGATCTTGGGCACGCACGCACATGCACCAAACATGAGTTTTAAGGCACCAGGTCCGAAACTCGAACTGCGGTCGACTATGTGAGAGTCCAGTGACATAACCATTATGCCATCTGCTGGTCCCTATAGTTAGAAGTTTTAACTAGAAAATGATATGTGGGACATAGACGAAGCTGAGAGAATCCACATATTCCCTGAAATGCAAGCAACAGGCATGAAATAAAACATACATTTTTCTTGATAGTCTAAATCTTTTATCAGACTCATCAAGAGACCTATAATTAAGGGAGTATTTTTCTTAGTATTTTATAAGCCAAAACTAATTACTAAAATCAATAAAGAACAATAGTAGCTATGCTAAAAATGTTTTATGTGTGACTCATGCTTTTCTCTCAAAGTAAAGACAGTTTTCAAACAGTCATTTTGAAGTTATTTTTCAATTAGAAGAAAATACGCAAACATCTAGTGGTATTTTCCAAAAGATTTTGGTAGCTACAATGATACTATTAAATATATGCAAAGTGAAATGGACATCAAGCAAATCAGTAATTTCTCCCCTCAAATGTGAAGGGTGCAAGGATCCAGGGAATCATCCTCCTTCTGAAGGTCGCTCCATCGGTTTGTTCTGAGCATGAATGCCCAGAGCAGAAAACCCTTTTACACGCTTGGGCATGTGGACAATGAAAGCACCTTTTTTATTTTTTAAATTATTCTATTTAACTTTATTTATTTTTATTTTTTACCTGGGGGGGTGGGTGGGGAGAGAGAGAAAGCGAGAAAGCAAGCCACCATGTCTGGGACTCGAACCACAATCAGTCATGTGACATCGCTCTGGTTCTTGGCCGTCTTCAAGGAGTGCAGAATCTTGGGATCGTCGTTAATGCTGAGGGCCCCGATCATCTTCCCTTTGTTTTTCTCATAGTCCTTCTTGTACATCACCTGCAAAGACATCCCACGTGCTGGGTGCCACGCACCGGGGAACAGCCAGGCCCCCCTGCCCAGATCCACAGACCACACTCACATCGCTAGCGTTCTTGCTGTTGGCCTTGGCTGCCAGCAGGGGAATGGCGTCCACTTTAATGTCAAACTTCTTGGCTTTGCTTTTCTCCCAGTCTTGTTTGTAAACGTTCTGGACAGGAATATTTTAGGAAAGGAGTTATAAAGATAACACTGAACACAGACTACTCCAGTAAAGATAAAAAACAAATTGACCATTTTTATATAGAGATGTATTTCACCTATAAATTATTCATTTACCAAAGACGTGGGTAACTAGTTTCTTAAGTTATTTTATTTTATTTATTATTATTTTTAAAAATTTGACCAGAGAGAGAGAGAAAGAGAAAGTGAGAGAGCAAGTCACCAAGTCTAGGGCTTGAACCATGGTCAGCCATGTGGGAGTCCAACACATAACTACGATGCCACCTGCTGACCCTGAAGTGGATAACTATTAACATATTATCCACTTTCTTTCTCTCCACCACTAAATTAGTATTACATATGCTTTATTTTTTTATTTTTTATTTTTTTGAGAGAGATATTTTTGCTATTAGGGCATGTGTGTTTGCCAGAGAGACAGAGACAGAAAGTGAGAACTCACACCCCCCACCCCCACCCCGGAGGGATAGCCATGCCACAATCCTTCTCCTCCATTCTTTTCTTAGGATTTTGGGCACATATGCACATATCCCTTGTGTGAGTTTCAAGCCTCTGGGTCTCAGACTCAAACCACAGTTGACTACGTGAGTGCCTAGCACTTTAACCACTGTCCACCTGCTGGCCCCTGTATTATATACTATTTCTACTACTTTGTAAACTTTCTAAAGACTCTGCTATCCTGATGTATAAAGAATAATGTAAAATGACAACCACTTGGAGAAGATATGTGAAATTTACATGGGAGAGTTTGTGTTTTTGTTTGTTTAACTCTAGGGATTAACAGAGAGGTAATTGAGAGGCTTTTGACAGAAACAGAACATGAAAAATGAAACCTGACAGCTAAGAACCTTAAAAACTTTTGGGCCAGGACCACTAGGTGACATGGTGGTTAAGGCACTGGACACTCCTACGTGACTAACCACCGTTCAAGCCCCGGACCTGGCTGCTTGCTTTCTTGCTTCCCTCTCTCTTGCTTTCTGTCTCTTTCTGGTCAAATTAAAATACATGAATGAATGAAACTGGTTAAGGCACTGGACACTCCTACGTGACTAACCACCGTTCAAGCCCCGGACCTGGCTGCTTGCTTTCTTGCTTCCCTCTCTCTTGCTTTCTGTCTCTTTCTGGTCAAATTAAAATACATGAATGAATGAAACTAAATAAAAAATAATTCTTAAAAATAAAAAACTTTTGGGCCATAAAAGCTCTGTTTATACTCTGTTAAGGACGTCAGTAGCTGTTTATTTGCATAACTCCTAATCCTGTCATTTTAAATGCCCAAAACATTGTCTCTTTTCAAGCACATCACGCATGGGCTTCTGTGGCCCTGGTACTTACATCGCTCAGATTATAGGCATTGACTCTATGCTGGATGAACTCTGGAGCATCTGCTGGCACGTGGCACTTGAACTTCTCCCCTTCATGCTTTGCTTTGTAATTCAGCTGAAAAACAGTAAGGGATGCCCAAGCAGCTCAAGGTAGAAGCTTACTTTTTGAGGACAGTATCTATAACTGAAGCTTTAGTACTCTTTTTAGAAAAATGCCTCAAATGGACATTCAGTCCAGTCAAAGACTAGCACAGGATCTGAACTCTCACTCTTTTTAGGGATTGTGGCACAATCGAACTTTGGATTGCTATTTTATAAATGCTATTATGGGATACATGGGGTCTTCAAACACTTCATGATAATGTTTTAAAATACTTTATTTGACAAAACTCTTATGAAAAAACTATGCATGGATTTCAAAAAAAATTTTGCACCAAAATAAACTCATATTTAAACCTAGTTTCTCCATGTACTTTCTGACCCTCACCCTTGCATCTGTAGGAATCACATATCTGATCTGCACTGCTGGACATGTGTTGGAGGACATGAAAACCCCAGACCTATCAAATTCTGTAACCAGAGCACTGACAAGAACAGTAATTCTTAAAAAAAGTGTAAATTCTTTTTAAAATCTGTAAGCATAGGACTTTATTTAAATGTTTATTTCATAAGGTGAAGTTAAGGAGAAGAAAGAGAGTGTAAAGAAGAAACGCGGCTGCTCAATGTTAAAGTTAAAGGTAAAATGGACAAGAGTGAGAACTGTGCAATAAGCATCCCCAGCATCTACAAGGAGAGCCTGCAGTGGCTGGGTACTGCCTTCAGCACCGTATTCCTCAGCAGCGTGCTGAGTCACCTGAGTTAGTGTCGTTGGTGTTTACCTGGTCCTTATTAGGGCATGGCCTATTAACATGCTTGGAAAAGTTGCACAGGAACTGGTATGACTTCTGAGTTACACTGATAACCACTGCTCTCCACCTACTGCATATGAGCTAATCTGTGTTACCAGAGCACATTTTATAGTACGACAAACTGGATCTTTCATTTTCCTATCTTGAGGAGGGTGTGCTATTCTTCAGGGTTTAGCTGCATTAGCACATTGCTCCTCCAAGTACAGTCTACGAATCACAGCATCAGCATTGCTTATTAGAAAGTCAGAATACTGGGTCCCTCCCTCCCCCAGATCTACTGACTCAGAACCTGTGTTTGAACAGGATCACGGGTTGATCTCATTCCTCGAGTGTTTGGGAAGCTTCGCTACTCTTCTCCGGACTTCAGCAGGGAGGGCCTATTCCTGCCTTGGCCTTTCCTTGATCATACGTGTAAGTAGTCAGCCGATCACTCTCTGACGTCATCACATTTCAGTTCTGTAGCATCATTCTATATTGCTTCTTTATCATCATCTGATTTCTCCTTGTTACCATACTCTTTACTTTTGTAAAGTCTTTGTTACCAAACTCAAGAATAGGAAATGCCTGCTTTGTTACCTACTTAAATCAACGCTGTGTTGTCACTATTTAAGTTGGTATAAAGTTTTAGTGTACATGTGTCCAATCCTAACCAATAAGTAAAGTATTCTCATGAATAATCAGTGAGTTATTAAAGAAATATTGGTTACTTTTATTGTCGTGGAACACTATTTTCCTCAGGCTATGATTGAACAGCTGCACTGCCATCTTATTATTCAAGTCTTGAAAAATGACATTATTGCAATGGCAGATGAGTCCATGAAGATTAAGCACGTGAATGCTTACACTTTAAATGAGCCAAGCTTTCCGGATCACCACACACTTGCATAAATTAAGGCACTTACATCGCTGAGCTGTTTCGTGTTGAGCTGGGCTTGCAACAGCACAGGAGTATCAGTGACTGCCGTGAATTTGGTCTTATCTGGATGAACTTTGTAGGTATGCTAGAAAAGAAGATGTTCTTTAATGAAATTTCATAGTGAGTCTTTATATTCTTGTTCACATACACACCAACATATAAAAAGGTTCCAGGCAAAAATCGTTACTGAAAACTTGGTTGACATGGTCTCTCTCTTTCTCTCCCCCACTCGTCTCTCTCTCTTCCTCTTTCTTCTATAGTTGCCTCTGGTCTTCCTGCTGCAACTCAGTAACCACAGAATTTGGTACTCAACCTAAGCCCGTACTTTGGTTCATGAGCCCAGAATCCATCTCCTCTTTCATTTCCACCACTCTACCTCTTACTACTGTCCCCTCCCAATACATCTCAGCCACCTCATCCTTCAATGCTGACCTTGTTCTCTCAGGTTCTTCTTCCGGCTGCTCCTCCCTCACCCTTGGCATAGATGGATAGTCCTGTGTTGGACCTTCCTGACCATGCAATCTTAGGTGCCCATCAAGTCACTAACGCACACCATCCTAGTCTAGTCTGTATAATCAGCATGTACTAGTGTTCCTGTCATTGCCTATTCTCTTTCTTATTTCTGTGCTCTCTTCTTTTGGTTACTGTCAATCTCTTCCACTCCAATGGAAGCCCCAAGAAGGCAGTCCATCTTGTTCCCCATTCTTTTATTTGTTTTATTTTATTTAATTTTATTTATTTATTTAAATCTGACCAGAGTGAGAGAGGGAAAGTGAGAAAGGAAGCCGCCAGGTTCGATACTTGGACTGCAGTCAGCCGTGTGGGAGTCCAGTGCCCCTAACCACCACGCCATCTGCTAGCCCCCTTGTTCCCTATTCTTTCCCAGCATCAAGAAAAATGCCTGGCACAGGCTAGCCTCTCATGGAAATATGCTGAGTGATGAACATCAGTTTCTCACAAACCTGCATGTTCTCCTTTGCCCTGAATTTATGCATTTATAAACTAATGAGAAGAAAGATTATTTTGTAACAAATAGACTTCTTAGCGGTAATTTTTTAGTGTTCTCCAATTCTACCCCAAATTTAAATTTAATATCTCCAGCTAGCCAGTAGATGTTACTAGCATTTCAATGTATGCTAAATTTACCACTAGATGTCACAAGAATCCCAAACCTGGTCTTAAGAATTCAGAGCACTCTTACATCTTTACACTGGTCTAGCTTCTTGATTGCTTCATATTCTTGTGTTATTGTCTGAGGAAAGTAGCATTTCCCTTTATCTTCTTCATATTCTGCTTTGTAATTTTTCTATAGTGACAAAGAATAAAATAGATCATATTATCATTGCTCCCAAACAATGTCATTGTAAAGCATGAACAATCGTCTTTAAACTTACGTCACTGTTTTGAGCTGAAACTTTCATGCAGTGTGTTTGATAAGGATCCTCAAAGCTGCCTAAATAATGTCCCAACATATTCTTTACGTATGAATCCTTGTATTTAGCCTGAAAAAGATGCACATACCTCCAGTTAACAGTTATTCACCCACCAGTAGGAAAGCCCTCCAAACCCTGGAGCAACTACAGCCTTTCGAACCTCACTAAAGTTCTTCAGCAGAGTATCAAGTTGATATTTAGGGGTCTCACAGTAATTCATGCTCTTTGCCTTGGTCTTCTCATAGTTTTCCTTATATAGTCTCTGTCAAAAGAAAAATAAAATAAAGTAAAATTTTATTTCCATGGAATAAAATCATTCACGTGATTGCTGCATGAAAGATCTGGAGAACGCATATTATGAAAAAGCTATGTGCAGAGTTTAAAATTTTTCTGTACCAAAATAAACTTGTAATTTAATTCTATTTTGCCATAACCGTTGAAGTCCCTTTGTACTTTAACCTAAGGAGTGAAGTTTGTATTTTTTTTTTTTAGCATCTATTTTCCACAAAGCTGAAAGGTAAAATGGATATGATAGTGGCTTGTATCTTCTATAATCTCATCTAGTAAATAACCATATTTATATTATGTGCCCTAATATTTTCATGCTGAATAAATTACAGCATGCTATTGCTGCTATTTAAACAAATTTTTGACTTAATTGTTTTTCCATTAGAATATGTTTAAAGAAAAATAATTTTTTAAAAAAGAATTGGTACAAAACAATATATAAGGTGTAATTGTTACTATACCTTATTATAGTAATTATTATAAGGTGTATTAATTATTTAGGTATAGTTCTAGGAAAGTTTTCAGTTCAGCACTTGATGAAAACACATTATATAACACCTCTGGAATTTGGGTTTTATCATGAAGGCCTAGCAATTTTTTTTTTTAGAGTTTTTCTTTTTTGTTTTGTTTTGCTTTTTGTTGTTTTGTTTTGTTTGAGAGGTTTTTGCTATAGGGCGCGTGTGCTCGCCAGAAAGACAGAGAGACAGAAAGTGAGAAATCACCCCCTGGGGGTGGCCACGCCGCAATCTCTTCTCCTCCATTATCCTCTTGGGATCGTGGGTACACACGCACACGCACCTGGCATGAGTTTAAGCCACCTGGTCCAGGACTTGAACCACGGTCGACTACATGGGAATCCAGTAACATAGCCATTATGCTAACTACTGTCTCTAGAGATTTTTACTATAGGGTGTGTGCACTTCCCAGAGAGACAGGCAGAAAGCAGAAAATCACCCCCCAGGTTGTGGGGGGAGGGGATGGCCATGCTGCAGTCCCTTCTCCATTCTCTTCCTGGGATTTTGGGCACACACACGCATGCACCCAGGGTAATTTTCAAGCCACCAGGTCTGGGACTCAAACCACAGCTGACCATATAGGAGCCCAGTGCTTTAAGTACTGTACCACCTGCTGGTCCCAAGTCTAACTTTTTTCTTTTTTAATTCAATAATACATGAAAAAGATGACTTTTCTGTTTTATTGCATCATTTTTAAAAATTCTTAAAAATAATTATTTTATTTAACTTTATTTATTTATTTAAATTCGACAAGAGAGGGTAGAAAGAGGGAGAGAAAGTGAAAAACCAAGCCGCCAGGTCCAGGACTCGGACCACAGTCACCCATGTGGGAGTCCAGCTCCCTTAGTCACCACACCGCCTGCCAGTCCCTGCTTCATGTTTTTTAATGTTCACTTTTAATTCTTTCATGTAGAAATCCAAAATACATCCAATAAAAACTGGAAAATATGTAAATAATACGGAGGGATTATTTCTTTTCTGCTAGAATTTAGAAAATTAGTATTTGTAGAGTTTTATTTTATACTTAATAAATACTTAAGGTCTTTAAATGCAGTCAAAAGTTTACAAAATTCTTTTTTTTTTTTTTTTTTTTGGGGGGTTTTTCCCACCAGGGCGCGTGCAC